TGCGAAACGCATTGTAATGGCTGCATGAATGTTGCATGGGTTTTGTTTTGGGGAGGAAGCCGGGGCGCGAAACCTTGTATTTCTCATTGTTTTTCCATGTAAAGTCAGCCGGCGCTGAAAGGTACCCTCTGTGTGCGGTGGGTGCGGCCGGTGTTCGTTTTGGTTCCTCCTCTGTGTTTTGCAACGAGTGGTTGTTCCTGTGTGCGTAGTTCTATGCGTTTCTTGAATCTGTGGTTGCAGATCGCATTGGAATGATTCAATGGCTGCATGATTGTTGTCATGCTCTGTTGCTATGTGCGTAGATCCGTGCAAGTTTGCGACGGGATGCTGCAAAACGAATTGTAATGGCTGCCTCAAGGTTGCTTGGTGCTGCGGCTGCATGTGTAATATTTTTGTCTTTTGCAGCTGGATCTGGTAAATACTAATGGAGTGGCTGCATCAAGCTGCGACAGTGATTTGTCAGCAGATTTTCTCAATTTGGGCGCTTTTTTTTTGCCTTTAAAAAGTCCTTTTAAAAATGCTTCAAAATCTTTTTTTCTCCGCTTTGGCGTCGAGATCCGGTTTTGGAGCTGCAATTGCCGATGCCGTCGCGCGTAGTGTTCTATTGCGTTTTGCAACTCAGTCTAGTGCGTTAGTTCTTTCGTGTTGCGCGTAATACTATTGTCTTTTGCGTGTCTAGCTGTAAAAGCTTCTGAGTGTGTAAACGCTTGCCATGTGTAAAAGCACTCTGTGCATAAGTGTTCTGTGTGTAAGCGCTTGCTGTGTGTAGCAGCTTGCTGTGTGTTAAAGCTTCTCTGTGTAAAAGCTTGTTGTGTGTAAAAGCTTCTCTGCGAAAGAACTTGCTGTGTGCAAAAGCTTTCTTTGTGCAAGCTTTGTAGTACAAAGTAGTACTGGGAAGTGCTTTGTGCAAGCTTTGTAGTACAAAGTAGTACTGGGTGCAAGCTTTGTAGTACAAAGTAGTGCTGGGAAGTGCTTTGTGCGAGCTTTGTAGTACAAAGTAGTACTGGAAAATGCTGTGTAGTACAAAATAGTACTGCGAAGTGCTTTGTGCAAGCTTGTAGTACAAAGTAATACCTGGGAAGTGCTTTGTGCAAGCTTTGTAGTACAAAGTAGTACTGGGATGTACTTTGTGCAAGCTTTGTAGTGCAAAGTAGTACGGCGAAAAGCTTTGTGTAAGCTACTTTGTAGTACAAAGTAGTACTGGAAGTACTTTGTGCAAGCTTTGTAGTACGAAGTAGTACTGGGACGTGCTTTGTGCAAGCGTTGCTGTACAAAGTAGTACTGGGAAGTGCTTTGTGCAAGCTGTGTAGTACTAAGTAGTATTGGTAAGTACTTTGTGCAAGCTTTGTAGTACAAAGTAGTACTGGGCCGTGCTTTGTGCAAGCTTTGTAGTACAAAGTAGTACTGGGAGGTGCTTTGTGCAAGCTTTGTACAAAGTAGTACTGGGAAGTACCCTGTGCAAGCTTTGTAGTACAAAGTAGTACTGGGGAGTACTGTGTGCAAGTTTTGTAGTACATCATAATGTTGACCTACGATTTATCAAACTACCCTGAATAGAGCTAACCAAACTCCCAAACTAAATAATAAAACTACCCTGAATAGTGCTATTTTTTTTGGCCCTAAACCCAGATTGCCCAGATGGGGCTGAAAAAAATTGTCCATGCTTTATTTGAGGTGGCTTTCATGTACTAATTCATATTGCCAGCTCATTAGATCTTACCTTGATAACTTCAAATTTTCAAAAATAATGGCTGCTCTTTTCTATTCAAAACCTTTATTCAAAATTATCCAAAATCAATCCCAAATCATCTCTTCAAGGGTACCCCCCATGAGGTGCCTTGGCACTAATTCGAGTTTGACCCTGAATGAAGCTAATTTTTTTGGCCCTAAACCCAGATTTGCCCAGATCCATGACATGAATACTAAATCAATACTAAATCCATGACATGAATACGAGATCAATACTAAATCCATGACATGAATACTAAATCAATACTAAATCCATGACATGAGTACTAGATCAATACTAAATCCATGACATGAAAACTAAATCAATACTAAATCCATGATATGAATACTAGATCAATACTAAATCCATGACATGAATACTAAATCAATACTAAATCCATGACATGAGTACTAGATCAATACTAAATCCATGACATGAGTACTAGATCAATACTAAAACAGTTGTTGGATTCCTTTTTTTTGAAATTGCATTTTATGTATTCGTTTTAAATTGTGGTAATTGAAAACCTTTACATACAAACAAGTTTGCTGGTGGCTTTAAGTCTATTTAGGGGAAAAGAGAGGGGGGGGGCCTATTTATAAATCAGAGGTGGACATTAGTAGTACTGGGAAGTGCTTTGTGCAAGCTTTGTAGTTCAAAGTATTTTGTAAAGGATTTTCTGTGTAAATGGATCTGTTTCTCAAGCTTATGTGCACAAAAGGTTTCTGCGCCCAATCGTTTTTTTGTACGAGAAACTTCTCTCTGACAGTCAGAGATTTCTGGCGTGCAGAACAGCTGAGATGAGTTGAGAAAAACTTTGAAGAGATGAAAAAGGTTGATCAGTGCTCGGATGAGATGAAAACAGTTGAGAAGAACTTGTTTAGATGACACGTGAGAAGAGATGGGATGAGATAAGATGAGGTGAGACGAGGTGCAAAAAGCTCACATTTTTTGCGATGAGATGAAGTGTGGAGTGTGAAGTGCAAGTGTGAAGTGTGAAGTGCGGGGTGTGAAGAGTGCAGTGTGAAGTGTGAGGAAAGTCTTCGCTTGGCGTTGCATTGCACCGGGGTCGCGCGCAGGTCATGTTCTTGGACAACATCTGTGCAACAACTTCGCACAAAGCACGCACGCACGGGCCTGGCTGGCGCGCGGCGCATGCAACTTCTATAGATGAGAGAGGTCGTATAGTATATCCCTAAGGCAACTTCCGCCCCGCCTCGTGCGGGTACTACTGATATTATTATATTAAATTATATTGTATTATAGTAAGTTATGTTATATTATATTTTATTATATTATATTATATTATATTATTATATGAAATGATATGATATGAAATTATACTAAATTATATTATATTATATCATATTAAATTATTTTAGTTCATATTCTATTGTATTAATCAAATTAAATTATATTAAATTATATTAAATTATATTATATCATATTATATTATATTAAATTAATTATATTATATTATATTATATTAAATTAATTATATTATATTATATTATATTATATATTATATTACATTATATTATATATAGAGGATAATAATGCAACATATTGATACACACTGCGCTAAATTTCACTGTGTATAGTTGTGCATATGCATGCTATCTATCCGTGACAGCTTTAGAACACCAACAGAGCTGAAAGCGTTCTGCACTCCAAGGGCCATCGGCGGGGGAATGTGTTACTAAATGACTCAATCAACTATCAGATCTATCAGGATTCCCGATATTTCTCAATCAACATGTCTGACAAATTAGTGACCGTAATACAGCCGATGCTCAGGCGATTAAGCTGCTAAAGCAAACCTTCAAGTCTTCGACAAAATGAGCAATGGTGTCCAAGCGTAGAAGGAATTCGACACATGATGACAAATGTCTCAAATCGAGAAATATTGCGGCTCAAACTCCTGAATAAAGTCACATGCTGTCTGACGATAGCCATCTTGTCCAGAAATTCCTCGCCTCGGACACTGCGAATCTGGTCATTTGCAAAGAGAAAACAAACACCAATATGCCACAACTTGCCCAGCCCCCAACACATGGAATAACACGATCGCATAATTACAAACAGGAATTGGCAACTGGGTCGACTTTAAACACGTAAAATCATCGTTTGAAATTCCCTAGTGGATTTTTCTTGGAATGCAAGCAAGGAAATGTACATAACATAGACTAGTATACAACAAATATACAACACATACAATACAATAAAAACGCGTATGATGCGTATGTCAAAACATAGCAGCAGAGGGAGCTTGGGAGCAGGTCCGGTGAAGGAGCGTGTTTGGGGGGAAAGGGGCATGAAATCCAGAAGGATGCTGTGCTGCTTGTGTTGCTGGGGTGATGCGGAGTCCATTGACCATGTGATCCTACGTGGCCTTTGACCATCTACTCGATGACCCGACATGCTTTGCATCTGTCGTGTATTCTTGTACGCAAGTTGAAACTATACTGTATGTGAATTCATCAGCTGACAGCGTATGGAAGTGGAAGGCACAGTTTGGCGCGGCCCGGGCGCAGTAGATATCAAGTGATGCTTAGTATGTGGCAAAGAGGTGCAGAAAAATCGTTTCCTTGCATGTTTAATCAAACTATGAAGAGGGCCCTACGCCAACTGCGGGTGTTTCTTTCCTTTTGAGACGTCGTTTCACGTGTGGCAAGAGCTCACATCGTTGTTATAGATTTCATGCGGTCCTGTCAGACAAGTACAGTAGTAGGCCGCAGTTGCGCACCCAAGCACGGCAGGCCTCATGCTATCATGAAGAGTGCACCGTGCACGTTTGTTTTTTTAGGGTTTCCGCGATTTGTCTCGTATGATTTATATTCGAAGGTTCAATGTTCAATCAAGCATACTTGGGTTACCCCTGGTTGTAACAGACCCTGTTTGTCTTCTATGTTCATCGGCGCTTTCTTCCTTGCAATGTAAGGCCACTACATGTATATTTCTGCTGTCCAAGTGCTTGTGCTCTTATTCTAGTGTGCACGCACGAAGCATTACATAGACTTGTTGGCTTTCCAGTCTCGGAGGGTTGCAGCTTACACTAGAGCTTAATTCTTCTGGGCTCTGAAGGCACAGGCGAGCGACCTGTCATTGTCAAAGGCTCCGGAACAGAAAAGGGGACGCATTTGTTAAAACATGTTACAAATTGTTACAGCACCTTTTTCTTCCATGATCATCCAGGGTTATCTTCTGGCATATTCCAGATTTTCTCGCCATTGCGTCATTGCGTTCGCATCTCCTGAGCATGTGGGTTCTTGCAGTTGAAGGCAGACGCAGCGTCAGTTTCCAACAAAGTAGGAGGAGTTGCTGAATGCATGTTAAAGATGAGGGATGCCTTAAGGGGATACCCCTGTCAACATACCTCAGAATAATAAAAGTATTATTCCGGCATACGTTGAGTTCAAAAAAATATTATTCCAAGAACTCAATGAGATATATGGAAAACCGGAATAATTTCCATCAAAATGATACCGGTATAGTCTATGTCTAGCCAAACGCAAGTAATCGTAAGCAGCTGCGCGCAAACGGCCGAAAAAGGTTTTCCTTCTTGCACAGCTGGGGCACAAATTTAAAAAAAAACATGAGATAGGATCAAGAAGAGTCAGAATAATATCTTTCCACTGGTTGAACATGGTTTTGATTGGTTTTGGATGTTTTTCCAGTTTCTGGGCTAGTTTGGTGGTTCTGGCCTTAATGGGAATGAGTGGGAAAAGGAAAATATTTGGTTGTCACTGGTTTAATTTTTTTTGCCAATTTCTGGGCTTGTTTTGTGATTGTAGCAGCTGCCCACTTTTGTTTTTGAGGGGTGCCAGGCATCTCCAATACCCCTAGAATAATTTCTCCCCTGGGGAGAGCCCACAAAATGGCACTCAACCTGGCTCTCTCCTACAAGTTTTACCAACTTTGCGTACGCCCCCCTATTTCTGCCATATTCCGTTCATTTCCTTCCAAAAAAATCCCGTTGGCCATAATGGGAATGAGTGGGAAATGTTTGGGTTTCATTTGTTTTTTGACAATTCTGGCCAATTTCTGGGCTAATTTGGTGATTAGCTGCCCACTTTCGTTTTTGAGGGGTACCAGGCATCTCCAATACCCCTAGAATAATTTCCCCCTTGGGGAAAGCCGACAAAATGGCACTCAACCTGGCATTTTCCTAACATTCCCTATTCATTGCCACCCAAAGAACTCTCGAGAGAAAGTACCGTGAGAGAAAGGTGGTCCGTTGGACACTAGTTGTGCTTGCAAGTATGCTGCAAAAAAAGGTTGGCAGCAATTGCCCAAACTGCATGGTGCCTTAAGCAGCTGCAATTGGCATTTCCAGCAAAACGTTTTCAGGCAAACACCGCCAAGCTAGGAATGGCTTTTGGAAGGGCCAGGCCAAATGTAGGACGTATAGGCTGCTTCGAGATGTTTTAAGATGCTCTTAAGTTAAAGAAAATTATTCCAAAACCTAATTATTCCGGGGTATCTTGACGGGGGGGATCATGATTTTCAAATTCCAACATGCATAATCGTATACCTACCCCTTGAAAAAATTATTCCTTGAAAATTACTCCAAAAAAGTATTCCATAACCTAGTTGATACCCCGGAATAATTTTTCAAGGCATGGGGCATTGTTAAAGGTCTTGGCGACATCCATCTTAAATTTCGGTGGGGGGCATTTGCAAATACTGGCAAATATTATCAAATATTCTTCGACATCGTGTGCAAGAACTGGGTCTTGACAAAACACCGGATGGCTTATGGATATACAGGCCAAGGTGGACAGTGTGTGCAAAGAGTGTGGACAATCAGCCTTAGAATGTTTCACCAACTTGTTGAACATTGTCGATGCAAAACCCTAAGAATTGGGCATCCCGCCCCAGAAGATGCTGCGACGTTTTGCTGCTGATGCTATCATTTTCATTGCACCGCACAAGCCAAGTTCACATGCCATAGCTGCATCATGCTGCATCACGCCGCATCATGGCAGGAAGGCACCGCTAAGCCACGAGGGCACGCCGACCTAAAAAGTGATTATCTCCTTCTTAAACAAGTCCTAGGATTTGGCAACAAAGATCTACAAAGACTACAGAGGTGCTGAAGCACTGAGGACGCAGGTAGCTGATGCTACCTTTCGTGAAAAACTTCGCGCAAAAACTATCAAATTAGTTCAAACTATAAAGGCGCATTTAGCTCACAGTGCGTGTGTGCAGTTTTGCGCATGCGGCTAACCTGTCAGGTTTTCTGCCTCATTTCAGCGGGGAACATGTTTGCCTGTCTGATCCTGTCTGTGTCCCTTTGATTCAGTTTCCCAGGGATGTCCAGGGTTAAGGTGCCTGCAACATGGCTCTACAGAATTCGGCAGATCTCTATGTCTCGGTGGGGAGCACGTTCAAGCTTGCAATCCACAGCTCACAATTATGCCAAGGAGCGCCCAATTTGCCTGCAAGTTCGACATAACCGCATCAAATTCTTGATTGCTCAGGTCAATGCGGGTCACCAACCTCAGCTGACATGAATAGACTGCGATCAGGGCTAGAAATCAGTCTGAATTTCCTTCTGGAATATTGACTTATATAAATACTTATATTATCTTATGTGAACGGGCTCGGGTTCGTGCAATGTCGTGTAGGGGTTAAAGTTCAGAATCTAGCCTATCTCACAGTTCAGCTTGAAACCCTAGCAGCGCCCATGCGTTTTCCTGTGTGGTGAGCGGTCTTGCGTCTTGAGTCGGCGCTTGAGCCAGCGCGTCGGTGGACGCGTGCTCATTCGAATTGGTTTCATGTAAGTTGACCGCATGTTCACCAGTGACCTGCATACCTATGGCCTGCGTCCTATTCACACCCCCATGCCTGACTTCCCCGGGTGTCAGGCACAGGAGCGGATGCCAGGCCTTTAAATTTCTGGTCACGCATTTGCGAATTTTGCTTTCAAAAACTGTACATCGTATGGCTCCGTAATTGGAGGTTTGTGTACTCACCGGGGTCGCTCAACCTCCGGCTTTCCACGCACCTCATGAATTATGCCATACTAGGGTATCCTACCCTAGTTCATAGTCGTTGAAAATTTGTGTGCCATCGCACTGGGAAGGCTTCGTATCCCTAGTGCGTAGGCCCTACTCTAATTAGCCCGGCGCTCAGAGTCCTCTCATGCGTGCTCTTCCATGACAAAGACCATGCACTCTTCACTCTTTGCGTCGTTTCTTCTTCTTGTTGGAGTCCTTCGTGCTAGACGTAGCTCCTTCTTCCGTGGTTTGTGCATCAGCGACTGCTCGAACATACTCTCGTGCATTTTCACGTTCGGAGGGGTCGAGTGATCTGAAACTCACTTCCATTTGCGCGGCGCTCTGGGTGACTGCCTTAAGCTTTTCCTCCCATACCTTCTGGAGTTGTTGCGGTAAAGCTAGGCCCATCTTGTTGAGCGTTACGAGGACAGTGAAAGTTCGCGATCTTTCCGTCACTGCGCATGCCAATTCCACGGGGTCGATGTGAATGTGATCATCTCGCTGAGGTGGGTTGACCCTATAAAATAATCGTAGGATCGGACAGCGAAGGTGCCTGAGATAATCTTTCGAATGAAGTCTGATGCCTCTCGTCTAATTTCTTGTTGACGTTCTTCATCATCATCGGTGACATCTGCAACTTTGGAGTAAACAAGCTGTGGCGTTACTCCGGTTTGGACGAGGTACTTCATAATTCTGCATAGGACTTTGATGCCCTTCACCCCTTTCAAATAGACCTCCAGATCCCTTCCACCAACTTTACCGTTCTTGGCATTGGCGTGGAACGATTCCTTAAGTTGTTCCTCCGTGGGCTCCTTCAGCTCACCGTTGGCTTCTTCACCAACGTAGGGGATGTACCCATCGTATTCTGGAAGAAGTTTAATCCTCCACACGTGGTCATAGTACTGTTGCGCAGAAGCCATCGATGTCCAGACGTTGTAGAGCTTGTATCGATCCTTCAGGTACGTGAGGATCATTCCGTCGACCGCTCTCGCAGTGCTGTCGATTGCATCCTCGTTCTGAGCACAATGTCGATACAGTGGATGATAGATGCCTGAATCGTTCTTACTGTCCATAATGGCAATTTGATTCTGGCCTCTCTCTGCTCTTCGTCATGTTCCTGTTCTTGAGCAACTCTCTCGTCTTCCTCTTCCTGCTGTTCCTTGGTGTTGCTACCGAATGCCACCTTAGGGTCTGGGGCAGTGCGCTCTCGACCGCTTCCAGATCTGGTCTGTGGTCTGCTTGGCTTTGCGTCCGACATGTCAACGTCATCATCAGACTCATCTCCGGCCGTTCTCTTGGACTCCCTGACCAATCGGCCAATTTCATCTTGATCCTCATTCTCCATCTCGACGTCATCGTCGTTGTCATCAGTGCCATCTCCGCTTTCTTGGCGTTCACGTTCTGGCATGCCTGGGGCGGTGCTCTCATCTTGCTTAGCTGACTTCTCTCCCCAGCTGACCAATGAACCATGGCATCTGACGCAAATGGACAGAATGTTCGGAGTCTCAGTAAGACAGGCAGGACAGATTAAATGTCCAGCTTCTCTCGGAGTGTAGTTCTCGGAGATGAACGTCACAATGCTGTTCCTCAGCTCGCTACCGGGATCCAACACTCCATTGGCCTTCTCAAGCTTTTCAATGTCCTTAACGAACATAGAACGGAATGTTGTCCTCGATGTCGATTTCGTTCATCATGGCCTTGGAGACACTTAGAACTGTGTTCGCTGTAGCAATCTCCTTTGGCTCTTGACATGATTTCACCAGTTGGAACTTGCCGGAATCGACGAGTAGTCGTTGCCATTCATAGTTGGCCTGGTACCACGCTGCGACCACTTCAGAGAACGGAATGTTTCCATTGATCACCATTTGGCCAGATGCATTGATCATGATTCCAAGGCTCATGAGTCGATGCACGCTGAATGCAAGGACCATACGTGGTTGCCCGAGGTGAGTCAGTTGTCCCCCCAGGATCTCCTTGTATCGCTTGTCCCATGGCACATATGGGTTGAGGAACCCTTGTGTTCGTCCTCCTCTGTGACCGCCTGGTCGAAGACCTTCCTTGATGATGCCAATCACGTTCTTGAATTCAGTCACGTGATAACCGAAGCATAGATCATCCGCATTTCTGGTGGTGATCGGGTGACAAATCCTGCTGTAGTCAAGGCGAAATTAAGTCATTTCCCCGGGCTGAAGATCCTCCAGGTGAATGCACAGCAATGGGCACTAGAAATACTTCACCTTGTTGAGCAATGATCTGGTGGATGCCATCACCAACCTTCATAACGTCCCTGAGGTAATCATCGGGCTTGTCGAATGTAGAATCCAGGACGATGCATAAGAACTGGATGCGGACCTTGTTCTTCTCTTGGAACTCTGACCAAACCGTCTTGATCATGGTGTTGACACGTTCTTCTCGGTAATCAACGTCAATGAGTCCATCATCCTCAAGGCGAACGTTCTCGTGATCGAAGATCCACGGGTGATGCAGAAAGTCCATAATGTCCACCCATCCGGCTTCGTCACATTTAAGTCCATCGAACGTCGTCTTCTTTCCGCCATAAATCTTCTCCCACACGTCCCTTCGTCCAATGTGGTGTCGCAAGGCTTTGTTGAAATAGTAGCTGTAGTTGTTCTCCCAGTTTTCCAAGGAAACTCGGTTAGCATTGGATTCGGTCGGCAATGGGTATTCAATTCCATGTCCAGCGTAGCTGTTGGAGTAGAACTTGCCGCCGTTGACTGGTAGAATTTTAAGCTTTCCGATGTCGGTCCCAATCTTGAGTTTCTTGTACATCTTGTGGTCGGAGTACGACATCGCCGATTTCATTTCCTTGCAGGTGAGGGTGATGCCCTTCTGGCTGGCCGCGTCAACGATCTTGTTCAGCTCAGTCTTCGTCATAGGGCCCTTCTCGACGGCTCTCACTCCGCTGATGCTCTTCTCACCATGTGCTCGATCACCGATCCCTGACAATGGGATGGACTGGAGGTACATGTACTCTCCTTCCCTGGTGGCCTTGTAGTTCGTTTGGCGGAAACGATCCTCTTCTTCATCATCGTCTTCCTTGGACATCTCCTTGTCTTCGACATCATCACCCTGTAGTTTCTTCCTCAGGTTGATCAATGCGGACTTGACTTGATCGTCACCTTTCGTCGGGCATTCATAATTGGGATGCCCACTCTCACCACACTTCAGGCAGACGTTGTTGTCGTCGGCCATGGCAAAGAGCGCGTCGATGGCCTCGATGATTGCTCCCTTGTCTTGGGAGACCTGGAACTCTTCTTCAGGGGTTGATGGAGACCTGCTCGCATCGTGCATGTCCGGAGCGGTAGATCTACCTGCTCCTTCGGCACTTGCTTCCGCGTCTCCGGTCGTTGGTTCCTGGGTGGTAGATCTACCTCCCCCGGTCCCTTGACCTTCACATTCCATGTCATCGTCATTAGTTTCATCGGCCATTGATCTCTGGTAGTTCTCGTTAATGATGCCAATCTCTTTGTCCTCAATCAAACAAGCATTTTGCAGGCTGTGATACATTGGGACGTCGCGCAGGACCAAGTTCACGAAATCCTCCTCGCGATTCATGGGCTCTGTAATTCTTGATCCACCTCTCTTGGTGTTGGGAGTTGTGTCCCATGGAAGATGTTGAGCGAAGCTTCCAGGCCCGCCAGTAGCTCACCTGGATCTGCCTTCGTTTCCATGAACGTGATCTGCGACTTCGTCATGTTGGCAAGATCAAGCATGCCAAGCCACATCTCGACCACGTCGCCGCATTTCTCAGCTGCAACGTCGAAATAATAGCCCATGACATCAGTGAAGTCATTCCCAAGCACCATCTTGAGGTAGTCCTTGTAGAACACATTCCCATAGTCTTTGGATACGCGATAGGCAAACCGTTGATGGGTTTCCCTGCCATCGTCCAGCATGAACTCTTCCCGGATGACAATGTACTGCCTTCCACGTTTTCCGGTGAAGATCTGCTTCGCGCGATCCCTGGGAACTCTAACGGTTCCGAAGTGCGACAACGCCTTCATGAGGATCTCACCATGTTCGCACCCCTTGTTGCCCACCATCGCTTTGGTGATGTCCTTGAGGAACTGAACGAAATCCTTCTGAGGGTCCATGATCACAGTGCCCTCATCTGTCATGATGTTGAAGAACGCTCGGATTCTTGCCGCCGTCTTGATGATCGTCTTTCGTTGATATTCTGGTGGCCAAAGTTGGTACTCTCTGGCCATCTCACTGGCACGACAGGCAATGCATTCTTTTCCACATCCAAGATTCTGATTCATGAAGTCGTGTGGCATCACTTCATCATCACGCCCCTTGTAATGTTGTTGGCATAGAATCATCTCATCGCGCCCATGGTTGACATAGAACCACATGTCGTACATGTTGGCTGAGGACTCTGGTAGAACTGATCTCACCGTGGCCTCAATCCATGGCGCCTTCTCGTATCCCACATTCACTCTTCTTCCACCTCCAACTGTGCCTGGGCAATCGGATCCAGTGCTCGCAGTATCTGGTACTCCACCTCCAGCTCCAATCTGAATCGTTTCAGGTTCTTTGAGCATTTTCTCCATCAGTTCCAGGTTGATGCCGACCTTCATGGATGATTCCTTCACCATGTCGTTCAATCCTTTTGCGGCTTCAACATTCAGGGAACACATCAACAGTACCCTTTGTCTGAATAGGAACTTCTCCATGGTGGCGAAAACTCCCAACCGATCAGGCATGCTGTGATTGTTCATGTAGTGATTGCCGGCATGACCATACATCAGTCGCCACATCCCATCATCCGTGGTAACCATGATGCCGTAGCATCTCAATATGTCCGCCGAATCAATTGCGACGTCCTGGATGCCAGATCGAATACCATGAAACCTGGAATTCTTGCAGAGCGGCACGAAGATCGGTCTTGTCGCCATCTTGTCAACGCTTCGAATCGATTCAGCCAGTCTCTCGGCAAAGTTTCCCTCAACCCACACATGATATGGATGAGAGTCGGTGATGAGGAATGCAAACGATATTCAAAAGTGAATTGTCACATTCTCCTCTGATGCGATGTCTGGCATCACATTCCTCTTCAAGTGGTCAACTGCGTCGAGGAACTTCTGGGCTCTGGTCACGCTCTTGAAGCTGTTGATGTCAATGACCGTAGCGGCATAACCCATTTCATCGAGCCCGTACTGGATGTTGGTTGTTCCTCTTGCATTCGAGTTGCACTTGTAGACGAGGTCAGTGATCAAAATGGTCTTGGCAAATCTGAACTTCCCTGCCAGCTCATCCGTCTCTTTGCGCACCAATGGCCTTTCCACAATGGTCCCACCGATGCCTGACATCAGGCCTCGCTTCCACTTTACATAGTCGCGATCGGTGGCCTGCACATCGTCATTCATGTTGATCATGACTGTCATTGACCCAACCGACAGGTAGTAGTTCTGATGCACCATTCCCCCACGCTTCACGGCTGCGTTGTAAATCCTCAGCCACTCCATATCGCTGAAGGGGTAGGAGGTCTCTGCTACCTCTCTGGCATTTGCGAGTCCAAAACATAGGCAGGTATACGTGGCCACTCTTCTGAGGTATTGCCGCCACGTTGATTGAGCACTGTTTGCCATTGGTCCCTGGACGTGCGACAGAGCAAACTCATTCTGGGTATCCACATGAACATTCAGAATGGATCTCACCGACGTGCCCGTGTAGTCTGTCCACACCTTACAGTAGGTGACCACGTTCAGTGGTTTCTGTGGTGGGACGTACTCAGTCTCGGGCATGTCGCGCCTCGTCGGCATCGACTTTGCCGCCGGTTTAGGTGCAGCTTGTGGTGGAGGCCCAGCTGAACTTGATGACTGTGACCCCGCCGCACTTGATTGTTGTGGTGGTGCCGTAGGAGAAGTTGGTCGTGCCTTCGGTGGTGGCTGCGCTGATGGATATAAGGCTGACATACTGTGCGCATGCTTCACGTAGTTGTAGCCCATCTTGACGATAATGATTCGCCATGGCTTCAGACATTTCTTGTTGTTCTCGGATAAGTTGTGATGCATTCTCCAATTCGGAGTGGTATCTTCTCCTCATAGCCATACTCTCCTGAACGATATGGGCCGCACCCGCCTCAGCAAGTTGACCACGTTGTCCAAGCTCGTAGATCCTCTGTGTTGAACCTTCATCCATGAGGTGTGCCTCAGCCAGAGCATTGGATTGTTAGTCCAGTAGGTTGTATGCATTAATGAGGGATCTTCTCATGAACTCCATCTCTGAGTTGACATGTTCCTGATATTCTTCATGATGTTGATGTGAATAGACCTCTACATTGTTGACCATTTTATCACGATGTGCAAGAACATCTTGATACAAAGCCAACCTATTTTCCAGTTCAGTCCTAGCTCGTTCACTTCTTTCCACCTTTTCGATGTTGTGTTGAAGTTGACGTCGCAATCGTGCCTCGCTCTCGTTCCTTGCAGCACTAGTCGACGACTTGCGTTTGGATGAGGTAGCAGGTCTGCCCACCTCATCCTCCCGCGTGGCCGTGCCCGACGGGCTCCGGCCACCAGCGTCGCCACTATCCACAGAGCGGGTTCTTGTAGCACGAGGAGACCTTGCCGACGTCGATCTGTTGGCACTTCCCCGGAGGGAACCAGCTTGATTGACCACCGTGAAGCTATGTGAAGACGCTCCACTTCCAGGTCCTCGGTACGAGACCGTACCACCGCCACCGCTCTCTGCAGATCCAGGCGTGTCATTGATCGCCTGAGCAGGAGCTGCGTTCGCCGCAAAGGTAAAGCTTGTGTCGTTGCTGCTCGACTGGTTCTTCTGCGACATCTCTTTGCTATCAGTCCACCTCCGTTTAGTACAGGTCTATGACTTGTAGAAGGGCAGGAGGACCGGGACGCCGAAGAGAATGGAGTACCGCTTGGGACCACCGTACGCCCAGAGTGAGCGTACGGCTGATAACCTGTGAACGGGCTCGGGTTCGTACAATGTCGTGTAGGGGTTAAAGTTCAGAATCTAGCCTATCTCACAGTTCAGCTTGAAACCCCAGCAGCGCCCATGCGTTTTCCTGTGCGGTGAGCGGTCTTGCGTCTTGAGTCGGCGCTTGAGCCAGCGCGTCGGTGGACGCGTGCTCATTCGAATTGGTTTCATGTAAGTTGACCGCATGTTCACCAGTGACCTGCATACCTATGGCCTGCGTCCTATTCACATCTTATTATATTGACTTGTGCTGCATTGCTTTCTCCCTCTCCTAAACCGCTCAGATTGTGCACAACACAGTTGCCATGAACATGTCCACGAGAATGCGAGACTACAGCAGCTCATGACTCATGATGGAGCTTTCGACTTGTATATCCCCGTGCAATGTAGCCAGGACAACCAAATTCTCTTCCAGAATTTGTTGAGTGTTGGGGCCTGGGTTTGCGGGTTTGGGGCTCTCGGTTTTTATACTTGCAAAGAACGTGCTGGGAAAGCAGTGCAAACATGCACACCAAAACGCTTATATACAGCATAGCCAATTGTGTGAAATTGTCAGGGCCGTAAAGCCGCAAAGTATAAGAATGCAAGCCAATCATTGGCCAATCGACGTGTAGATGTCCGCATACAGGTCCTTGATCTCTCTGGCAGTGAACGAATACATCTCGGAGATGGGGTACAGCTTGTTCCGGATATTCTTCGCCCAGTCTGATGGACTGCCTTACTCCGAATACATGGACAGGTTTGGCGAGATTTGGCAATAACGAACCCACAGAAAGTTGATCCCCTACATAACTTGGACATTGCCTTCAAGGTGACAAACACGAAGGCGCACAGAGACAAGTTGCTGGGCCCAGGGAAAACCAGTTTCTCTGCTCGCATGTCACTGAACTCTGTGGCTGGGCTCCACCAGTATGACAGGACTCTGAAGTTCCGTGGGATTTGCGTCTCAGCAAGGCGCCGAATTTCAGAAATGTCTACCGTTTACATCCGTTTACCGTTCCAAGAAGTACACTTTTCTCCCATATAACACTGGCGATCGAAAAGTTTCTGCATCCCGTACAGGTATCTACACATAACCATGCGTGCCTGCACCTTTGCTACTACGTAGATATAGCGTGTCATATAGACCCACACATCTATAAATATAAATTATGAATACATATATACATATATATATATATATATATGCGTGTGTGTGAATTACAAATGTTTGTATACATCAGTTTTTCTTCGCTGAGTCTTGAAAACCCTCTCGTAATCCAGCATTGTCGCCTGTAGTCTGCATTTCACAACCAGCACAAGAACAAACCTTGCAGAAAAGACCAACCACTCAGCATATCGCCAAAAAATGCTAAAACATGCTAAAAGCATCTTGCTCCGTTCTAAGTTCGGAACGTACGCGCCCCAGCTTTCAGCTTCTCCATAAGCTATGGCCTTGGGTCCACACATGCAAAGGCAGCCCTTAAATATCTTAAACTTAAGCCCTCTTAAGCGTAAACTAAGTCAGCTTGAGGGCAGCTCTTCGTGCAAGACACGCAAAGATTCATCACTTACAAAGACCACAGTGATTGCCAAGAAACTGTGTTGTAGGAGAAAATCTTCTGAATTCCAGAAGGTTCTAGCCACCCACTATACGTGAGGTACGGGATGCACTTGTCTGGATCAACTGTCAGCAAATGTTCACAGGCGGTGGTGCAGGAAACCCACTTGTCGGAGCCATTGAATCTACTGGTCCCTGTTTCAAAAGCATCACAAGACATTGGGAACACAAAGTAACATAAATAAAAACCGTTAAAGACGTGAAAACACATTAAATCATGAACGTAAATCATCATAAATCGCTGTTGCACACGGGATTGAACAAAATTGCCCAAGTACGCTGGCCTGGATCGCGGCACCCAGGGCCCAACACGAATGCATCATTCCAGCATGCAATTTTGTTATCCACCACTGCGTCCTGCTGTCTCAGAGGTCACATTCAAGGGTGTGAATCTTTTGAAAGGCATGGCCCTTCTGAACCTTATAGTTCGAAACTGTGTGACTTTAAGGATCTTTAAGGTACTTTATAGATCTTTATAGTACTCTATAGTTGCGGTTGATAAGTGGTTTCGGACGGTTTCGGGCTATAAAACTCGCAGTAAATTCCACCCTGTGTAGAAACTGCGCAATCAAACTGGGAAATCACACGTTAATTAAGGAGAAAAACATGAAAAAACAAACTATAGGAAAACAATGAGGTCAAGATTTTCGCTTCGCAAAAAATGTTGCAATTTGAAGTGGAGATCTCATTTCTGAAGGCTGTCCGCGTAGCCCGTCACTGCAATGAAGGCTGCTGCTAGGACAGGATCTGTCAGCTTGAACAAGGTAGAACAATTCGCAATGTCCTAGGCTCACATACCGCACGAGTACTGGACAGCGCAGGACTGACACGCAGCCACAATTTTCCAGAAATCCAATAGAAGAACTCTGAACTTTCAGGCAAGTCAACACATCTGTTTGACTTTTTGCTTCCTTGGCAACAAGAACATACACAAACAGACAGGCAGGCACACAAAAAACATCAATTACTTTCTTCGAGTGATCCTCGCCCGAAAACATTATTCTGACATATTCTGACATAGTTTCTGACATACCATCTGGAAGTATATATGGCATATGGCATATTTATTCTGACATTCTATCTGACATTCTTTCTGGCATATACTTTGACATTCTATCTAACATTCTATCCGGCATCAATTCTTACATTCTATCTGGCATCTATTCAGGCATTCATTCTGGCTTCTATCGGGCATCGGGCATCTATTTTGACAATCTCCCTGACATGGGCACTGCTGGACCTCCATCGCGCGCGTCAGATCTCAGTGGGCACGCGTGCCAACTCAGATCTGGCGCTCGTAGTTGAGGTCCAGCAGTGCCCGCGCTTGCGGTTGAGGTCCAGCAGTGCCCACTGCGATTTGGCGCTCGCAGTCCAGGTCCGGCAGTGCCCACTGAAATCAGAAACCTTGCAGTTGAGGTCAGGTCTGGCAGTGCCCAGTGGCATCTGGAGCTCGCGGCTGAGGAGCAGGAGAAGAAGAAGGAGGAAGGAGGAGGAGAAGGAGAAAGCAACTCTGACAAAATCTAAAGACCCTGGCAGGTGGGGAAAACAAGGTGGGCCGGAGAACCCAAAAGCAAGACGGCACACAGCGCGCCTTTTTTTGAAAATCTTGTGGTGTGGGCAGCTGTGCTCTGCACGAAAACGACGTAAGATCTTTACTGAAACATCGTGCGCGCTGATGGCATCAGGGGCCACAATTCACCACAGCATGCCGTGTCAGCTACGTCTACATTCTTCTAGTCGCTATTTCTGCTAATGTAATTAACTTTATCCCATCTTTCTCGTCGCTATTTATTTCTGGGTTCTCGTTTAGTTTGCTTCGCCGCAGAGGGTGCGAGGACGAAGCGTGGACGGACAGAACACCGTGCGAAATGAAAACTAAATTACGGAGGGAGTTGACCAAAGGAGCATGAAAACGAAGATATGAAGGTGACAGATGGTGAATGATCACGAAAAATGAGACATGATGAAGGATGGGTAAAGACTTCTCTGTACAAAAGCTTCTTTGCATAAAAGTTTCTGTATGTAAAAGCTTCTGTGGGTAAAGACTTCTCTGTACCAAAGCTTCTTTGCATAAAAGTTTCTGTATGTAAAAGCTTCTGTGGGTAAAAACTTCTCTGTGTACAGGTTTTTTTGTGTAAAAGCTTCTGTGTGCAAAAGTTTCTGTGTAAAACGTCCTCTGTGTGTAAAAGTTTCTGAGTGTGAGAGTTTCTTTGCGTACCAGCTTCTGTCTGTAAAAGCTCCTGTGTGTTAAGGTTTTGTTTGTGTAAAGCTTCTGTGCGCAGAAGCTTCTCTGTGTAAAAGACTTCTCTGCGTCAAAGCCTCTGAGTGTACAAGCTTCTCTGTGTAAAAGTTCCTCTGTGTAAAAGCTCCTCAGTGAAAAAGCTGCTCTGTGTAAAAGGCTTCTCTGTGTAAAAGCCTCTGTGCGTGCAAGCTTCTCTGTGTCAAGACTACTCTGTATAAAGATTTCTCTATGTAAAAACTACTCTGTGTAAAGGCTTCTGTCTGTAAAAGCTTTCCTGTGTAAGCGCCTCCGTGTGTAAAGACTCCTCTGTGTAAACCCGTCTGTGTGTAAAAGCTCCTTTGTGTAAAGGTTTTTTTTGTGTAAAAGCTTCTGTGTGTAAAAGCTTCTGTGTGTAAAAGTTTCTGTGTGTAAAAGCTTCTGTGTGTAAAGGTTTCTGTGTGTAAAAGCTTCTGTGTATTAAAATACGTTATGTAAAAGCTTCTCTATGTAAAAGTTCTGTGCGCCGTAAAGTTGTCTGTTTGTAAAACCTCCTGTGTGTGAACTCGTCTTCTCTGTGAAAACGCGTCTGTGCGTAAAGGCTCCTCTGTGTAAAGACTTCTCTGTGTAAACGCGTCTGTGCGTGAAAGCTTCTATGTGCAATCTGTGTAAGACTTCGCTGTGTAAAAGCTACTTTGTGCAAAAGGTTCTGTGCGTAAAAGGCTTCTGTGTGCAAAAGCTCCTCTGTGTAAAGGCTTCACTGTGTAAATGAATCTGTGCGCAGAAGCTTCTCTGTGTAAAAGACTTCTCGGTGTAAAAAGCTTCTGTGCGTGAAAGTTTCTGTGTGTAAAAGCTTTCCTGTGTAAAAGTGTTCTTGTGCAAAAGCTCCTGTGTGTAAAAGCTTCTGTGTGTAAATGTCCTTTGTGTAAGGACTTCTCTGCGTAAAAGCTCCTCTTTGTCAAGACTTCTCTGTGCAAAAGGCTTCTCTCTGTAAAAGACTTTGTGTGTACAGGCTTCTCTGTGTCAAGACTTCTCTGTGTAAAGACTTCTGTGTGTAAAAGCTACTCTGCGCAAAAAAGCTTCTGTGCGTAAAGGCTTGTGTGTGTAAACGCGTCCTTGTGTCAAGACTCCTATGTGTAAACGTGTCTGTGTGTAAAAGTTTCATAAAGTTTCTGTGTAAAGGCTTTTTTGTGTAACAACTTCTGAATGTAAAAGCTTCTGTGTGTAAGAGCTTCTCTGTGTAAAGGCTTTCCCGCGCAAACGCTTCTGCGTGTGAAAGCTTCTCTGCGCGTAAACGTACGTTTTTTGTGTGTAAACACTTTGTGTGCAAAAACTCCTCTGTGTAAAGACTTATCTGTGCAAACCCGTCAGTGCATAAAAGCTCCTCTGTGTAAGACTTCTCGGTGAAAAAGTTTCTCTGTGTAAAAGCTTCTGTGTGTAGAAGCTTTCCTGTGTAAAAGCTTCCTTGTGCAAAAGCCTCTGTGTGTAAAAACTTCTCTGTGTAAAGGCTTTTCTGTAAAAAGCTTCTGTGTGTGAAAGCTGCTCTGTGTAAAAGTTTCAGTGCGCCGTGAACGCTTCTGTGTGTAAAACTTCCTGTGTGTAAACGCGCCTGTGTGTAAAAGTTTCTGTGTGTAAGTCTCCTTTTTGTAAGAAGGACTTCTCTGTGTAAAAGCTCCTCTGTGTAAAGACTTCTCTGTGTAAAAGCTCCTCTGTGTAAAGACTTCTCTGTGTAAGAGCTACTCTGCGTAAAAGCTTCTGTGCGTGGGGGCTTTTGTGTGTAAACGCATCCGTGTGTAAACGCTCCTGTGTAAGCGCCTCTGTGTGTAAAAGCTTCTGTGTAAACGCTTTTTTGCGTAAAAACTTCTGTGTGTAAGAGCTTCTCTGTGTAAAGGCTTTCCCGTGTAAAAGCTTCTGTCTTTAAAAGCTTCCGTGTGTAAAGCCCCTCTGTGTGTAAATGTTTCTGTGTGTAAAAGCTGCTCTGTGTAAAAGTTTCTTTGTGTAAAACCGTCTGTGTGTAAAAGCTCCTCTGTGTGTACAAGCTGCTCTGTGTAAAAGCTCCTCTGTGTAAAAGCTCCTCTGTGTAAAGACTTCTCTGTGTCAAAGCCTCTGCGAGTACAAGCTTTTCCGTGAGAAAGCTCCTCTGTGAAAAAGCTGCTCTGTGTAAAAGGCTTCTCTGTGTAAAAGCTTCTCTGTGTGTGTGTGCAAGCTTCTCTATGTCAAGACTACTCTGTATAAAGACTTCTCTGTGTAAAAGCTTCTGTGTGTAAAACCTTTCCTGTGCCTGTGTAAAAGTTTCTCTGTGCAAAAGATTCTGTATGTAAAGTCCTCCCTGTGTACAAGCTTCTCGGTGTAAAAGATCCTCCGTGTAAAGCTCCTCCGTGTAAAGCTCCTCTGTGTAAAAGCTGCTTTGTGTAAAACCCGTGCCAGCAGCTCCGAAAATTTCAGTGCCGCTCCCTCCCAGCAGAACTCTTCCCAAGCTATTTCCCCACCTGTCCATTCACGCTGATGCATATCCTATGCTTAGGTTATCGTTGAGTTTGCTTCGCTGCATCGACGGACAGAACACCGAGCAAAATGAAAGCCCCTGCATGGCCCCTCCAGCAAAGAACTTTTCCCATGCATGTCCGGTATGTCCCTTTGCCCAGCGTTTAGACACTGTTACAGAGAAGTCTTCGGCACCAGTTTTTCGTGACAATCGCGTTGATGCTGAAAAATCCGTGCCAACAGCTCTGCTCTTTTAGTCTCGCTCCCTGCCAACGAAGCTATGCATGTCCCGTGCATGGGCCAGGGTTTGAAAACTTTGGCAGGTCTTGGGCGCACAGTTTTTCGGAACAATCGTATTGATGTAATTTGTCCTGAAAAACAGGTGCCAACAGCAGTGCATTTTTAGCGTCGCTCCCTGCCAACCAAGCTATATGTCCCATCGCCCAGCGTTTGCAAATCACTTGAAAAGTCTTGGGCGCAAAGTTTTCGGGACAATCGCATTGATGGAATTTGTACTGAAAACCCGTGCCAACAGCTCTGCTTCTCAATGCGTCGCGCTCTCCCCAAACTATTTTCACGGTTTCCCCTCCGTCCACCCTTGTCGTCGCTTCCATCTCGCTCCCTCCCAACGGAGCTCTCCCCAAGCTATTTCCCACGGTTTCCCGTCCGTCCACCCTATCGTCGCTTCCATCTCGCTCCTTCCCAACAAACCTCTCCCCATGCTATTTCCCACGGTTTCCCGTCCATCCACCCTGTCGTCGCTTCAATCTCGCTCCTTCCCAACGGAGCTCTCCCCACGCTATTTCCAACCGTTTCCCCTCCGTCCACCCTGTCGTCGCTTCTCGTCGCTTCCATGTCGCTTCTTCCCCACGGAGCTCTCCCCAAGCTATTTCCCACGGTTTCCCTTCCGTCCACCCTGTCGTCGCTCCCGTATCACGGACACGGTGTCCCGTCCGTCGCTTCCATCTCGCTCCTTTGCCACGGAGCTCTCCCCGAGCTATTTCCCACGGTTTCCCCTTCGTTCACCCTGTCGTCGCTTCCGTCTCGCTTCTTCCCAACGGAGCTCTTCCCAAGCTATTTCCTCCCACGGTTTCCTGTCCGTCACCCCCTCGTCGCTTCCATCTCGCTCCTTCCCAACGAACCTATCCCCATGCTATTTCCCACGGTTTCCCGTCCATCCACCTTGTCGCCGCTTTAGTATCGCTCCTTCTCACGGAGCTCTCCCCGAGCTATATTTCCCACAGTTTCCCATCCGTCCACCCTGTCGTCGCTTCCATCTCGCTCCTTCCCCACGGAGCTCTCCCCAAGCTATTTCCCACAGTTTCCCCTACGTCCACCCTCGCGTCGCTTCCATCGCGCTCCTTCCCCACGGAGCTCTCCCCAATCTATAGTTCCCACGGTTTCCCCTCCGTCCACCCTGTCGTCGCTTCCATCTCGCTCCTTCCCCCTACGGAGCTCTCCCCAAGTTATTATTCCCCTTGTCGCTTCAGTATCTCTCCATCCCAAGGGAGCCCTCCCAAGCTATTTCCCACGGTTTCCTTTCCATCCACCCTCTCGTCGCTTCCGTATCGCTCCTTCACAAGGAAGTTCTCAGTCTCCCCACGCTATTTCCCACGGTTTCCCCTCCATTCACCCTGTCGTCGCTTCCATTTCGCTCCTTCCCAACAAAGCCCTCCCCAAGCTATTTCCCACGGTTTCCCGTCCGTCCACCCTGTCGTCGCTTCAATCTCGCTCCTTCTCACGGAGCTCTCCCCGAGCTATTTCCCACGGTTTCCCATCCGTCCACCCTGTCGTCGCTTCCATCTCGCTCCTTCCCCACGGAACTTTCAACAAGGTGTTTCCCACGGTTTCCTGTCCGTCCACCCCCTCGTCGCTTCCATCTCGCTCCTTCCCCACGGAGCTCTCCCCAAACTATTTCCCACGGTTTCCATTCCCTCCACTTTGTTGTCGCTTCCATCTCGCTCCTTTGCCACGGAGCTCTCCCCGAGCTATTTCCCACGGTTTCCCCTTCGTTCACCCTGTCGTCGCTTCCGTCTCGCTTCTTCCCAACGGAGCTCTTCCCAAGCTATTTCCTCCCACGGTTTCCTGTCCGTCCACCCTCTCGTCGCTTCCATCTCGCCCCTTTGCCAGGGAGCTCTCCCCTTTGCATCCCTTTACTATATTTCCAACGGTTTCTTCTCTGTCCACCCAGTCGTCGCTTCCATCCGTTCCCTCCCAACGGACCTATTTCCCACAGTTTCCCCTCCGTCCACCCTCTCGTCACTTCCGTATCGCTCCCTCGCGGCAAGTGCAACTAAACGAGAACCCAAGCATCGGAGATGCTTTTGGGAAAAAAGTGTGCACTGTGCAAATCTGTACAAAATCTGTGCAACTGTGTGGCCACCCCAACAGTGAAGTCTGTGAGCTTCGAGAAATACGGGGTTGGGTCGAACCACGTGTAGTTCCATGACTTGTAGAATGTCATGGCCACGCCGTCATTGCGAGCAGCGTCTATTTGAGGTCCAAAGGCAAACCTTGACAGCTTGCTTTGAGCTGCTTGCCACGCCAAGCATGTTGCTAAGTGGTTAATCACTTGTGTTTCTGGCAGGCAGAGGCTCACCAGTTTGACTCAATACACTTGTATCTTGAAGCAAGCAAGGATGTCAAATTTTCGATGGACTATAATTGACTTTATTTTTCTAGGAGCAGTCCAGACTGACACAAACTGGTTGAGATGATCTACTCCAACTTGTCGACTAAAAAGAGGATCTAGGTCCGAATGTCTTGGGAAGACCTTGAAAGTCTAAGAAAACATGAAACAAGTGTGCAATAGAGTGCGAAACTAAAACAAAACAAGTCAGTCCAAGGCACATGTATTCGGCACCTACATAGGTATAATGTCTTGCCTTCAGGAGAGCACGCACGAATTCATTTTGAAACTCATCAGACTTGAAACTGCTGACCCCAATAAAGCGGAAAATGACTCAAGCCGGCAGCCTGGAAAAACACAGAAGAACGCACAGAGAAACTGGAAATGCAAGATGATAAGCAATACAATAAATCGCACAAATATCGCGCAAACAGTGCCTTCAGAAGTCTGGAAGGCTTTTTTGCATGAACTGCCGCATGCAAAGGGTGAGCCCGCCCGTTTTTTTTGCTTGTGAATACTTGGTTCCAAGATGTTTCAAGAGATATGGATGTCCTGCTGGCCAAATTCGATTGGGTTGATCTGGCTTTTCGATCATTTCAATCCAAACATGATTTTTGGGAGGCTGGAGTCTTGGTCTTTGTCGAGGCTTGCAACTCCGAGATTTCAGCCTTAGCTACTCGGTTTTACACGACACTCCTGTTTTTTTTTGTGCATTGTCGGAGTTGCAGGGCAGGGACTTGCCACCTCTTCTAGAAGAGCGGAGTTTGAACTTGTATCTTTCCGCTGATTGATGGAAAGGTTTGAGAAGAAAGAGCCATGTGGGAGGATTATCAGAATGATGATTACTTTTCTCACTGACAAGGCACAAACCTTGCAGACTCAAAATCAAATAACTTCATCAAGAGAATCAGAGCCGGTCGATCTGATATGATCTGATGGATCTGATTGTAGATAGCAAAACATATCAAGAACATATCAAGAGTAGTAGCTGAAGGCCGGAGCGGAAGGGAGAGAGTTCTGGAGGCAGAGACAAGCACAGGACGCGATAGAGTCAGCAGCAAACAAAGCGAGTGCGACCAGCAAACAACAGCAAAGAACATATTCTTGCCAAACAAAGGAGACACAACCAGCCCGCCCATAGGAGACACAACCAGCGCCGCTCCACAACTTTCCACAGCGATCAGAATGGTGACATATGTGACATACTGATTGTATCTGATTGTGCTACTGAAATCTACTAAAAGCTACTGAAATTGCTCATGGGGCTGCGGATTGACAGTTCAAATCAAAAAGAATCCAGCTGAGTTGTTGATTGCAGTATCACACAGGATTACAATGTATTGTTAGGTATTACGCGCGCTATTAAAAAATATCATGACATATCATGATACACTATTACAATCTATTACATGCTATTACACGGTATCATCGTACCATGTCTTACAGTGTAGAATGTCTTGCCATCCAATGGTACCTGTACATACCTGTACCACTGTACCATGTGTCTTCTGTGAATGAAAATGCTTTAAATTATCTTTGAATATTTTTGAATGCTTTGAATGCCTTGGTATGTTCATGTATGTTCCGACGCAAGGTGTCCGCAAGGTGTGCGCTCACGGCTGCACAGAGGAGCCTTCGGAGGAGATAGTGCTGGATTCCATGCCTGGAACTCTGCAATGTATGCTGCGCCGGCAGAATTCCAAAACTGGCACCAGCTGCGGGGACGTGGAGTCAAGATGAGTCTAGATTCTAGATTCTAAACATGCGACAAACATACCGCAATATCAGCAAGAGAAGCAAGCTTTATAGGTTGCGGTTTAACCGGAATATGATGCACCTCATGCAAAGTTGTGGCAGCATTTAATTTGGCAACCATCGAAACGCACCAAGATCATCACCCTACAGATCATATCAAATGTCTGACTCTCTCTGACTCTCTCAAAGAACTCCAAGAACTCAAACTTGGGCTGTGCGAAGGTGTGAAGTTCAGGCCTCCATGGTCACGTGATAGGGCGTAATGTAGCCATCCAGTCCACATTGCCTCTCTTCCATTGATGTACCGCCAGGATTTTGGCAGCTGCCAAGTTGGAACAGCGCCTCGGGCCATGGATCTTGGTGGTCGCAACCGAGGTTTGTCACGATGTGTCACGGTGGTTTGTGCTGGAAAGGTCTCGATAACGGACGTGACATGACTGAGACGTGCCAGCCACTTCGCACGGATGCAAATATGGGCAACATTTGAAACCCAAAGAAAATGCTGCACTTTTCAGGGGTGACGCACACACACACGGACACATGCTGAGTACACTTCCTCAACAATGAAACTCAAAGTTTGCAAGATTTTGTAAGATCCCCCACCGTCTGCGCGTTGTTCGCAACTCCCTGGTTTGCAACATGATACCCCAACTTCTCAGTCACCCTTAGTCCGAGCCAGCTGAGCCGAGGCAAAGCGTTCAAGTCCTGTGCCAAAAGCTATCCAAGACTAACGTGACTTCCGACCCGAGACATTTCTTATCATTTCTTGATATTTCTATTGACTTCTAGCGCGTTTTTGTGAAAATGTGGAACGGTAAGAAAGAAGCAGTCTCCCAGAATCCATTTGATTTGCAAATTTGAAAGCAGACTAGCAGCACAGAGCCTTTAATTCAACCTTCATGGCAATTTGAGGTAATTTGACTGCGTTAGGATACAAGATGATACAAATGCTAGACATGCTTGGGCCCGTCGCAAAATCTCAAAGAGGTGCTGCAGGAACTGGGCCTCAGGTCTGACAGTCTAACATGAAAGTCGCAAAAAAGATCAACAAACGAGTCACACTAGATTATACTATGACTATACTATACTATACTATAACTATACTATTACTATTACTATACTATTACTATACTATTACTATACTATTACTATACTATTACTATACTGTACTGAACTGTACTGTTACTGTTACTGTTACTGTTACTTTACTATACTATACTATTACATACTATTACTATACTATACTATACCATACTATACTATACTATGATCCTGCGACACATAGAGTTCCCAACTACTCTATCAAACGTACAAAAGCACAATGACGACTACAGACTCAAATTGAGGAAGAGCACGGTGAGCCGTACAGTGTCATCACTGTCTGTGAAACAAGTTTGACATCGAGCATCCGAATCCCATGACATTCTCAAACTTCCAACGCCCATTGACGTTCCTGCAAGCAGCTGATGGCGGGAAGTGAAGGCTTTTGAGAGTAGAAATGCAAGCGATGCTGCAGCATGGCTTATCAACAAATAGTTCTGCCGCCAGTTTAAACTACTGTATCACACAGTATCCATTATTTGGTGATACCTGGTGCAACAGCGGCCATGATGTCGCAGAATGCGCAACATAAGCACACGGAAGCACGCACGCACGCACACACATACGCACGCACACACACACATGCACACACATGCACACAGCCGCCCAGAAAGTGTGATGCCTGCGTGGACGTTCAAGACGTCTTTCTCATTCTCTCTCTGTCCACTTCGTCTCTGGGTGGATAAACATGTTCGGGGATTTGATTGCCGAAAGACATGAAGCTGTCACCAAGGTCAACACACACGCATACATGTTTTTCCCAGAAAGCGAAGCTAGTGGGGTTCTTACTTCAATGTCTTGTATAAGAAGAGTTGCATGTTTGCGTTTTGGCGCTTGCTTGCTGGTGCCGCTGCATGATGCCGTTGCAAGGTGCTTGTGTTGAAGTGCTGTTTGCGCTTTGCGGCGTGGCGTGGTGGCTGGTGCCGCAGGGTGCTGCTGCAGGGCGCTGGTGTCGGAGTGTTGTGCGCGTAAAAAAGAACATTTAAGTGCTGCCACGAATTTCCTTTTGCTATCTACTTTCTATGCTGGCGTAATTTTCTTATATCTATACATGTATGAATCTTGGAGCAGCCCTAGCTCAAGGGTCAATGTGGTATTTGGATGTATGTGGCGTCACTCAGTGCGAATTGTGTTAGGCATAACATGGCGCAACCTTCAAGGTGTTCGCAAGTGTTTGCAGTTTAGATCATTGAACAGCAAGTCATATGCAGCAAATGTGCTCGCTTCGGGCGGCCTCGGATTGTGATGTTTTTTCGCTGTGACTCCGGGATGGCATCGCCAAAACAAGCTGGGAACCCTGTGGCTGCTGGCAGCGCCAGCCTGACACAGCTTGTCACAGACTCGTCACTAATGACAAGCTGAAACAGGTTGGACATGGCAAGTCACATGTTATGCTTTGATTTCCACATCTTTCTTGTAAGCTGCCCACGCCAGAAAATAGATGCACAGCAACATCCTCAGAGTGGCATGAGACTAGACAAAACATCCGATTGCGGCTGGCAACAACCTTGCTTATACCAGTATATACCAGTTCATTGTGAAAACATGTGCAAAAGCTATGCAAATATCTGACTCCAACAAGAAACTCCATGCCACGTGCTTTTCTGTCCACCTACTCCAAAATACAGCATAGTAAAATTGACGCACTGCAATCAGGCGGCGCTGCCCAAAACAGCAGCAACCGCACACGTCGGTCTTTGAGCCGCAAATATGCACAAACAGAGGGTTTGTTCTGGAACACAAACAATGCATCAAAGTGCACTTCAGATCGAGATGCAGCAGAGGTTTGTGTTTTGAAGGGCAATGAATTACCCCACGAACACTACCTGTTCAAAATCTCTTCAACAACGTTTAAGCTGCAAGCGCATTTTCCTCCTGCATAAGTAGCCAACTGCTGAGAAATATCCCAAAGATATGTCGGATGCGACGGTCCAGCTGGGAAATAAAAATTTGCAGCGTGCTTTGCAGCCAGCAGCGGCAACTTCCCAGTCACGCCCTGGCCAAATGGTCTGGAACGTTCTGGAGGACCTCGACAATCCCGCCTATCCCTGCGTCTACATGGCCGGGATAAGCACCTGGGCCATGACTTGAAAACGAAAAGAAACATATTTGAGTCGTTTGAGACTGGCTTTGACCGCCTTGAGACTAACTTGGAGACTAGACTCGTCTGACTGAGTCAGAAGTAGCCAAAGAGGCATCACTTTCTGCATGCCAACGAGCTTTGGTACTGCGACGGCAACCCGTAGAATAAAACACGCAGGTAGTAGAACAGGTAAAGCGCACGCAAATCAGGCGTTCCCAATGAAGTGATGACATTGTTTGTGAATGCAAAGGGCTGAATCATCCTCCGAACATATTCGGACCATACGTTGACGCAGCAAAGATTGATTGCCAATGCAAAGTTGATGTATCCCCGTCGATCCGCGTAACAACCAACCAGTCCCGTGCCTGAGATCAGCTGGCTTGCAAAAGGATCAAAAGGTCAGAATGACATCTAGCATCATCTAGCAATCACAAAATGATTTTGAAGTTTGAAACAAGACTTTGTCATGCTGTATTTCAAAGCAAAAACCAGAAAAACATGGGTGTTGCTCTGGCTTTGGTGAATTGTTATTCCTTGACACCACCAAGGAAACAGGAGCCTTTCCTGGACCTCTTTCCGCTGGGACAAGCGCTATAACAGGGATTTGAATTGGCTGGATATGGTGCTGTTCAATGTGCTCACCTTTGGTCTTACAAATCCCCACGTCTCGAAGCAAAATATAATGACAAAGACTTGAATATATCAGAAGGCCTCGCCAGAAGGCTGGCATTCTCCACCCCCATCTTCATGGATTTTCCATGTTTTCCCTGCTTTGCACATACAATCCCTTTGGTGCATGACATGCCTCTGTTGCGTATAGGGTGGCCAGTTTGAGTATATACAGGTTTCTCCGGCGCGATGGAACCATTCCAAGCCCTGGTAATTCTCTTTTCAACGTACCCACACACATATTAATATCACAAACCTACACTGTACAAGCGCTAGTACTTGTGAATATGCATGTTTGGCAACAACGCACGCTTGAACGAATGCCAACCTGTAATGCAAGGTTCCGTGCGTAATAAATATAGTCACAGGCACGGGCATGTCACGCCAACGTGTCCATGCGCATGCATATGTGCACAAAATATGCATACATCATACTAACAAAACTTCCAACGTTAATCAATACAGTTACATATAGTGCTGTTCATCATTTTGGAACACATCACTCCATGTGCAATTTCAGCTGTGATCTTTGACTGCTTGCATGCAGCCGTTTTTCGTATCAAAAAAACGAGGTGCGTTAACGGGCGGTGTTGGTGAGGAGATCGGAATTTGAAGAGGGGCACAAATCGAGAAGTGTAACCCCAGAGAGCAGCCTCTGACCTGCTCTCAACGAGACAGGTTATGAGCCCAAGGTGGCGCTAATGGATCTTCTTAGACATAGAAGGGCAACCCAAGAGGAGTTGAATGAAGGGATGAGACAAATGAGAGAAGCGCAAGATCGGTTTTCTAGGGAAAGAACTGAGGAAGCCATAGAAGATCAACAGAATCCAGCCAATCAAGGTCAGGAGATTTTTGAAGAACCACAAAGCCCAAAAAATGAGTCCCCTAGAGTAGAAGAGACTGCGATAGAGGATCAGAAAGTCCCCGCCGTTGAGGATGTTTCCAAAGAAGCTGTAGAAGAATCTCTAAAGGGTTCAGTTCAGAAATCCCCCAATCCTGCTGTTGCTCCGACCACTCCAGCTGTCCGAAGTGGAGCCAGCGGGAAAGGAAAGGGAAGTGGAAGCCAAGAAGTTCTGCAAACGCCTCAAGCTGTTCCAAATGGAGGAGCTGGGAATGAAGGTGACGCTCAGGCCGACAGGTCTGGCAGGGCAGATTTAGGACCTGCACTGACTAGGTCCCAGCCCAGGTCACAGCCCATGTTCACACCACTTTTCAGTGAGCAGCAATTGAGACAGTTTGAGGAGCTTCACAATGGGGCACCATGGATTTATGGAACAGATTTGGGAACATCTAGACCTAATTGGTTGGAGATGGAAGACAGAAGGCTGCTTGCTCTTCAGGAAGAGCGAGATCGTTTGCGTCTGGAGTCTGAGGCAATCAGGTTTCGCCAAGAAGAGGAGCGACAGAACCTTTTGCTAAGGCTCAAAGTTTTGGAGGAAGAGAATCGTTTGCTGAAGTCTGGGAACGACAGGAGCTCCATCTATGGCACTCCTGAGGGTTCAAGGAAAGATCGAAAGGAGGCTGCAGACCCCCGAAAGCCCGAAGCATTAAAGGAGGCCGTAGACCCCCGAAAGCCCGAAGCACCAAAGGAGGCTGCAGACCCCCGGAAGTTTGAAGCATCAAAGGAGGCTGTAGACCCCCGAAAGCCCGAAGCATTAAAGGAGGCTGTAGACCCCCGAAAGCCCGAAGCATTAAAGGAGGCTGCAGACCCCCAAAGTTTTCATGAAGCCCAAAGGCCGCCAGATTCAAAGGAGGCTGAAGACCCCCAAAGGCAATGCGGAAGTTCAAAGTCTGCGGAGGACGCAGGAGAGCCAGAGATCAGAATGATGATAAAAGGCATGATGAAGCTCATGGAGGGCATGCAGGTGCTGCAATCTCAGATTGTGGACGCAAAGAAGTCAAAAGACATGGAGATCGTCAAGGGTGCAATTCCAGATTTGCCCCGTCTTTCAGAGTGGAAGGCTGAGACGGCGCCTTTGGATCTCACTGACTGGCTTTTGACAATTGAGCCAGCTATGGGAAATCTTTCTGACACCTCTCAACAATGGTGGGAACAGATGCTGCAATCCGCCCGAAGTTGGTACATTCAGCACCAAGAGAAGACCCCCTTGGAGAAGGTGAAGCATAAGCCGCAGGTTCCAGAAGACCTGCAACATCCCAGGTACCAAAGACTCGAGAAGAGAGTCACTGCTCTTCTCATGGCTGCCATACCGCAGTCTCAGCAGGAAGAAGTGGTTGCTTCGAAGGAGGTGACTGCCATCAACGTGTTGGCTCGGCTGATGACGTGCTATCAGCCTGGTGGCCTCAGCGAAAAAGGAGCCATTTTGTCGGCTCTGGACTCTCCAGAGGAAGCTGCTGGACTTTCCCAGGCAGTTACAGGCCTTCGTCGGTGGCTTCGTTGGCATCGACGAGCTGGTGAAATAGGAGTCGTTCGACCTGACTCCACAATTTTGGTGAAAGGTCTTGGCCGCTTGACAAAGAGGGTGTTGAGAGACAACCCAGATCTTGCATTTCGCATTCAACTGGCAAAGTCTTCGCTGCAGATCGACACAGCACCATGCGAAGATTCAGTGATGACGTTTGCACATCATTTGCTTGCGGAATTTGAACAGGTTGCACATCAAGATCGACGGAAGCGTGAAGATGCAAAGAATGCTCAAGAAGCAAAGGCCAAAAGATTTGAGGAGAATGGATCTGGAGGAAAAAGTGCAGAGGGCAAAGGAGGGAAGGGCGAGAAGACGTCTACTCCACCATGCAAGTTTTTTCTTTCGGATGGAGGATGCAAGAAAGGAAAGAGTTGCAGCTGGTCCCATGTCACCGACGAGAAGCGTCGATGCTGGATTTGTGGATCAGTCGCACACCTAGCGCCAGCTTGCGATAGGCCACGAGAAGCTTCGAAGGAAAATGGAGAGAAGTATGGAAAGGGAGCAGAAGGAAAGGGAAGCCAGAAGATGGTTCAAAGACAAGAGAAGAAAGAAGAAGGAGCAGCAAGGACTGAGGAGCTTCCTCAGCCAGAAGCACCATCTGAGGAGCCGTCTTCTACCTCAGCTGAGATGAAAGGGCTTTTGGAAGAGGCAACGAAGATGTTGAAAGGTTTGACTATGCAGTCAAATGAGAAGGAGCAGAAGGGCAGGCAAGATCGTCTTGCGGCCATGCAAGATCAACTGGATGAGCTTCGAAAAGTCAAGGTTTTGAAGATTTCAAAGATGGAAAGAGAAGGAACTGTCTATGGACTTTTGGACAGTGGTGCAACTCATCCAATGCGAGCTGCACGACCAGGCGAAGATTTGTCAATGTGTGAAAACGTACGTGTGACCCTTGCGGATGGTCACCAAGTGGATATGGTGATGACACCGAAAGGAATCATGGTCATCGAGGACGGCAACGTGGAACCCATTGTTCCTATGTCAATGCTAGCAGGAGAGCTTGGGTATGTCATCACGTGGAAAGAAGGGTCTATGAAAGTGGAACATCCAAAGAAGGGTGCTTTGAAGGTCGTCATGCGGAACGGGTGTCCGCAGATCCCAAAGAAGAAGGCACTTCAGCTGATTCAGGAGTTAGAAGAAGGAAAGAGGATGAAGAAGATACAAGAGGAGGAAAGGAGTGCTGAGGAGAGGTGGCTTCAACAGTTGGTGAAGGCACATCCAGTCTTGAGGGAGCTCCCACAGCACATTCAGCAGAAGTTGGTGGTCAGCCCGGCAGAAGATTTGTCGCTCACCTTTATGCAGGAGAATCAGAAGGATACTCCTTGGCCAGAGCCTTCAAAGAAGTGGGTGGCGATCCAAACCTTCTTGTGGAGATAGACATCAAGAGAGATTCAGAAGAATGACATGGAAGATCACATGACATGCTGAGAGATCATGATGGTCCATATCCATCGCTTTTGCGAGCTGCGCTGGATGGTGGACTGAAAGCCTTGGTGATGGGCCCGAATTGCCGAACACGGTCTGTGTTGCGGCACTACCCTCTTCCTGTTCCAGGGGGAGGACCAAGGCCAGTTCGGTCTTGGGAGGAGCCGTGGGGGAAGTCAACCAACACGGCAGAAGAGCAGAAGAAAGTTGTGGAGGACGATGTGCTTCTGTGGAGAGGGCTGATGCTCTACATCGTGCAGGAGGAGATCAGAAGGGCAGTTGGTAAGGGAGAGGAGTCAAAGATGAAGTTGGCACTTGAGCAGCCAGCAGATCCCTCTCACTATGTCCCTGAGGTGGTGTCTTTTTGGGGCACCAAGGAATGGAAGAAACTGCAGAATATGTACCAGCTTCAGGAACAGACCTTCCGCCAGTCCAGTTTTGGAGGTCGGGCAGTCAAACCGACCACTTTTGGAGGAGATCTTCGCCTGTGTGTCCCACAACTGCATGAAGAGATTCAAGAGGAGGAAGTGAAGCCTGTTGCCTCGTCTCAGGACTTGGCCAGATGGGTCCCAGGTCTTATGAGGCAAGTTGCAGAGAGTCTTCAACAGGCAGTCATGGCGAAGAAAGTGCGTTATGCGAAGATGAGCTGGGAGGAGCACATACAGAGAGGACATACACCTTTCAGAAGAGACTGCCAGGTTTGTCAGGAAGCTTCAGCGAGGGGGAGAATGCATTCAAAAGTCAGCCATCCACGAGCTGGAATCCTCAACCTGGACACTTGTGGTCCCTTCATCAAGGGACACGACGTGGAAGGCGAGTCCAAGTTTATGCTCATCGGAACATACACATGGTTGAGACCGCCTGATGACAACCCGGAGGAGGAAGTGGAGGAGCATCCCCCGATTGAGGTTGCTGAAGGAGAAGAAGAACAGTGGCCAGAGATAGAAGACGTAGAAGATGAACGAGAAGAGATTCAAGAGAGAGAAGAAGAACAACCTCGAAGAGAGGATGAAGAAGAAGATCAAGCCCCAAGACAAGAAGAGGATGACGGGGGCAGGCCTAGAGAAGAGGCTCCACCTGTTCCGAAGATCGAGGTTCTTCGGGTAGCCATTCCCTTGAAAGGAAAAGGAAAAGAAGATGTACTCAGCGGGGCCATGGATCTTTACTTGCAGCTCAGAGCTGATGGATTTCCTGTTCAAGGCATCCACACTGATCGTGGAAGAGAGTTCATGAATTCCCGCTTCAAGCAGTGGACTCGAAGCAGGTGTATCATGCATACAACCAATGGAGGAGAAGATCCACAGGCAAACGGAAGAGTGGAAAGAGCTGTTCAGGAGATCAAGAGAATGACAAAGCGACTGCTGCATGGTTCCGAGATGGACAAATCATGGTGGCCGATGGCTCTCAGGTATCTCATGGAGACTAGCAGATTGAGGAGAAAGCATGAAGACATGAAAATTCCAGCATTTGGAGAGAAAGTGCTGGTAAAGAAGAGGATATGGAGAACCAAGGCGTTGGAAGCTACTCACGAGAGCAGCAGATACCTTGCGCCAATGATCGAGGCACATGGTCACTGCATTCTCCGTCAAGATGGAAGATGGGGAGTTGCCCCATACGTCATCAAGAACGTCCAAAGTCCGCCACCACCCACCGAAGAGATGTGGCTGGCTTTGATGGAGGAGGCAGAAAGAGACGAAGTTCAAGAAAGGAGAAGAGTGAGAGGAAAAAGGCCTCTCCATCGAGGTGATGGTGAAGGTCTGTTGAGGTTGAGATCTATGCTGAAGGAAGAAGCCAAAGCAGTTGAGGAGGAGTGCCTCGAGAATGCCATGCTGGCGTTTCAAAGACTGGAACCTTGGAAGAAGTCCCTTCGCAAAGCAGAGGAGGAAGGAAGCGAGATCCTTCAGACCAAGATCATCAGTCCCCAAGAGTTGGAACGAGATGTCGAGCTCTGGGACGAGGCGATTAAGGCAGAAATGCACGCACTCATAGAAGAAAAGGGTGCTTTGAGGAGCATTAGTCGCCAAAAGAAAGAAGAGCTGCAGCAGCGATGCCCAACTTTGATAGTTGTCCCCAGCAAGCTGGTGATAACCAGAAAAGCAGGGGGAAGAAGAAAAGTGAGGATCGTTGCCTGTGGAAACTATATAGAAAAGGGACAAGAAGAGGACAGCCTCTATGCAGGAGGTGGAGACGCCACAGCACTCAGGGCATGTCTCAGCAAGGCAGTGCAAGCTGACTGGCTTGCCGCTACGTTGGACATCAAAACGGCATTTCTTAATGCTATGCTCCCAGGTGAGGGCGCAGATGACGAAGTCGTGGTGATCTTACAACCACCAAGGCTGCTGGTCAAGCTGAAGTATGTCCAGCCGGACGAGTTCTGGGTGGCGGTGAGAGCCATTTATGGGCTTCGTCAATCACCAAAACTATGGGGCGCACATCGCGACACCAAGATGGGCGGCATGAGTTGGGAAGGTCAAGAAGGCACCATCGCCCTAGAACCCATGGTTGGTGATCCAAACATCTGGAAGATGATCCAACTGAAAGAAGGCTGGGAAGAGGTCACCAAGGGCCTGATTTTGGTCTACGTGGATGATCTGCTGATCATGGGGCCAGAGCCTTTGATCCAGAAGTGCATCAAAAGGATTTCAGAAGAATGGGAGATAAGCAAGCCGGAGTGGCTAGGAAAAGATCGAGGAGTCAAGTTTTTGGGCATGGACATTTGGCTTACAGAAGAAGGAGTTTTTTTGCATCAAGGCAGCTACTTGAAGGAGCTGCTGAAAAGAAATGGAGAAGAGCATGGACTTCTCTCTGGAGTCCCAATCACACGAGATCAAGTTTTGCGCCTGGAGGAGGATGATCCACAGAAAGATGCAGATCAAGTCAAATTAGCTCAGCGTGCGGTGGGAGAGTTGATGTGGCTCCTCACCAGAACGCGTCCTGACTTGATGTTTTGCCTCAGCAAGATGTCTCAGGCCATCTTGCGAAATCCAAAAGAAGTCGTCGGAGTTTCCAAGCAGGTCTGGAAGTATCTGAGGAAGACACAAGATGAAGGTTTGTGGATAAGAAGAGGAGAAAGAAACGTTTTGGAGGTCTATACGGACTCGTCCTATGGTCCTGGGGGAGCAGACTCTCAGGGCACAGTGCTGGTCCTCTGGAATGGAAGCTCACTGCTGTGGAAGTCTGGAAGACAGTCCATCCCATCTCTCTCTACGGCGGAAAGCGAACTTTCAGAAGCGGTAGAAGGAATGGTGATGGGAGACAGCGTGGACGTTCTCGTCCAAGAGATCTTCGAAGAAGGACACCCAAAGATCATCAAGGTAGACAACACTGCCGCGATCAACCTTCTTACAGAAGCTTCTGGAAGTTGGAGAACGAGGCACTTGCGTCTCAAAGCATCACATGTCCGATGGCGATTTGGAAGAATGGACTGGATGGTTGAGGCTGTGCCAGGACAACATCAAATCGCTGATGTAGGCACCAAATCTCTTCCAGCGCCAAGATTGGAGGAGCTGAAAAAGATGATGAAAACGGGAAGCTATGAAAGAACAAAAGAAGAAAGTGAAGAAAAGGAGGAGGACATCAGCCAAGACGTACAGGAAAGAGATATCAAAGAAGGACCAAAAAGAGAAGATGTTGAGAAAATTCTCAGGGTGATTGTGGCCTTGGGATGTGCGCATCATGCATATGCACAAGAAGAAGAAGAACAACGAGAAAGAGACAGCGGATGGGAGATTCTGATTTTGGTCGTCCTAGCTTTTGTAGGAGTGGTGCAGATTTTCCAAGCTCTGACAAGGGTTGTCAAGCAGTTTTGGAGACAGCGGCAGAGAAGGATCAAAGAAGAAGGTCAGAAAGGAAAGCACGTTGAATATGAAAGAAAAGAAGAGGAGAAGCCGAGTGGAAGTGGACTGAGTCGTCCAAAGGCATTGCCACCTTTGGATCAGGCTCCGCAACCAAAGTCTGCTCACCAGAAGGAGCAGGCTCCGCAACCAAGGTCTGTTTCTCAGATGCAGCAGGCTCCGTTACCTAAGCCTGCATCTCAGGCTGCTCCGCCACCAATGAGTCTTTCTGTGCCGAAGTATCCAGCACCATCAGTGCCAATAGCAGTTTCTTCGACATCTAGTCAGAGTGCGATGAACAGTAGCTCGGTAGCTGCTGTGAGTATGCCAAGGACGGCGAACACACCAGTGGTTTCTCAGATCAATGTGACCAACACAGGGACAGCCAGAACCGACAGAACGAGCAAAGGTTCTGGTAGAAGGCCAGCATTTATCACTCCATGGGGAACCAAGTGGCATCAAGATACCACTTGCCCTACTCTTGCCAACTCTAGAAGTCTCATTCCAAGCCAATGGTGCCAATCATGTTCAGAGGCCAACCGAGATGAATCCTTGCCAATACTCTCAGTGGGCCCAGGGGGAGTAGCACACTATGATCCCAACTGTCCACTGCTTTCATCAAATTCGAAGAGGTATTCAAAGTGTCAGAGGTGTTAAGAGTGATTTCTAACCTGCTCTCATCGAGACAGGGTGAGCCAGAAAGAAAAGGAAGAGCGAAGAGAAAAGAACGGCTTGAGTCAGAAAGTGAGAGGGAAACCGTTTTTTAGGTTTTTGCACATCCCTTTCGAAATGCGAAATCAATTTTGTGCTGTGGACGGAAATTCCCATAGCCAATACTTATGAACGAAGTGAGTTGGGTGACGTGCGTCGCCAACTCGGGGGAGTGTTCATCATTTTGGAACACATCACTCCATGTGCAATTTCAGCTGTGATCTTTGACTGCTTGCATGCAGCCGTTTTTCGTATCAAAAAAACGAGGTGCGTTAACGGGCGGTGTTGGTGAGGAGATCGGAATTTGAAGAGGGGCACAAATCGAGAAGTGTAACCCCAGAGAGCAGCCTCTGACCTGCTCTCAACGAGACAAGTACATATCATTTACATGCTCCCCTAGCAAAACATCAACATGTAAGAAGAAAAAATCGAGAGCACAGTCAATGCAACCGTACGGATTTCAAGGCTGCAAGTAAGCATTGGATGTGCAGTAATAATTCTAATACGTCCCCAAGGAATCAATATTTTACAATCGCATTGGCTGCCCCGGCTGCTGTCAAGCAACGGATCAAAGCTCAGAGCCATGTAGAGCTCGTGTGGTGCTCTGTGCCCTGGGTCCTGTGGCCAGCGGGACTCCGAGCCCAAGACGTCAAGAATCCCTTAGACTCAGGAAACATGTTGTTACACGTTGTTACAGAAGCTCAGCTCCCCTCAAATCTCTGTTTCAATGTGTTTCAGAAGTTGAGTTTGAGTCTGTGAAATTGTAGTATCCATGGGGATGGAGCCCCAAGAACGCGAGTGGACCAGAGCGACACCATGCAGTTAAACAGAACTGAAATGGTTGACTGTGCCCAGCATCCCTCGACCCTGGCAGCCCTAGCCTTGTAAGCCTAAAGTAGCTGTTTCAGATTCATTTCCATGTCCAGTGAAAGCGAATGAAACACTATATGTATATATATATAAATATATGAAACTATGTATAACTATATAACCATATATATATATGTATATATATACAACATAAATACAACTATATATATATATATAGATCAAAATAAAGATATCTGGGGCAGCTACAATCGCCGATCAACCGCGAATCAACCGCGATCCCAACGGTGTCAATCGCGGGAGGGTTCTGTCGTATGCGACACTATTTTGCGCAGATAATCGTCAAAAACATTGCTATATATACATGTTATACATATCACAGTATTTAGAGACATGACGTGAGCCAGGGCCTACTCAGGCTGGTTTAACAATCGCGGAGCAATCGCGGATCAACCGCGAACCAATCGCGGATTTCATCAACATTTTTTGAAAATTGAATTGATCTGGGTTGTTATTCTGATTCTTCTTTGCTATTGGCTATAACTATTGAACACAGTGCCTAGGCAAACCCGAATACAATATAAGGCTGAAATGTAACATGATTATCATGCCATTCAAATATAATATTGTTTTCTTCTCTTACAATAGTCGATTCTTATATGACACATGTTTGTCTCAATCGCGAGCCAATCACTGATCAATCGTGATGCAGGGTTTAACAGCCGATGCTGAAATACCCATGCCCTTTCATAATTCTTAGGCTTGCATTTGCGATCGGCTCCCATATATTCAAATAATATATATGTATATAAAAATATAAATATATATGTAATATAATATAATACATGTTTTTTTGCCGTAGGGGTTCAGCTAAGTATACTAACATATACTAACACTCCTTGGATGCATCTCACCTATTGGTTGAAGATTGAAGCATGTTGAGTTTGATTGCGCAACCTGAGTTAAGCAGAGCAGGTTGCCAAGTGGATTAGACAGATCAAACATCAAACAAGACAAGGAAAAGCAACTGGACAATCAGTCAATGAGGAATATGAGGATATCTATGGAATTCTATGGATATCTCATATTTATCATATTTTAGTTTCTTGATTTCTATGATGGGTGTCTCCGAAGCATCACCGACTGAGACCCCTTGCCTGCAAACTGTCTTCAAGGAACTTTGGCCGCCGTTGCCCTTGCTGACGAGCAGTTAGCAACAAGTTGGCCCGGACAAGCCTCTGACAACATGCAACCGCCCTCTGGCAATCGCCCTCTGGCATCTTTTCTGCTTTCTGCTCATCGTTTTGCAGATGGTCTTCAATTCTCAAGTGAATCGGATCATTCCAAGCTGAAGTCATGTCGAGTCAGAGTCGGGGGATTCTTGATTTGATGGCAATCTCCGGGTCCCAGGAAGTCTTGGCTGCAAACATGTGGCATCTGACTCTGAGCTTCCTCATTTTCAGTTCTCGTGATTTGGTTCTATCATTTTGTATTGCAGTGCCAAAAGTTTATGCGGGCTTCGAAGATTTCGAAGACTGAGCGTGTCCAGCCAAATGTTTTTGATAGGCACATGTTCAAAGGTAAGACTCAAGTACTGCAGGCTTGACGGAGGCTGAGCAACCTCATCTCCATTTGCGGACGTGACAAGCTCGAGACATGAAATGCACGAAATGCACATGCATTTCAGACAATATTTCTTGACATACGAGAATGTTTGCACCAGGTCTGGGGCTTTCAGGACTCGAATTCGGCGTTTGCAAGGGTCAGGCCTCACTAAGCAGGGCACGTTGAAGGTCTTTTTTTCGTCAAACAAACGTGGAAGTACAAGGCGGGTGTTAACAAATCAGTCCAAACAACGACAGGCTTCGAGGAGTGCGGTGGTCTGCCCGCACTTCATACACAGTGCAATGTTGCACCATTAAATGGGTTTTTCTTGACCGGTGTTGAAATTCACGCCTACCTCCGTGTGTCAAATGTCTTCCACAGTCTTCTTGTAACCCCAAACAGAGAAATCACTTGCCAAAATGCATTGAGACCGGCGCAACAGCAACCGCCTCTTCGTTTTTTCAACAGGTGAGAAAATTTGTCGCCATCTTAAAGGTTTGTAAAAAATGTAAAATGGATTAAGATGGCATGTCCCGTTACAGCCAGAAGATGCCAAAAGACCAACTATACCGTACCCGACTGAGCTAGCTAGCATCTACAGCAGCATGAGCTGAGGGTCTGTCAGTGGCATGGTGCCATGTGGGGCCTGTGCACTGCTGCCGCGGCTTCGGAGGGCTACATCGGACATGAGCTTGCACATGTTGCACCAAAGATCCCCGTGTGTGGTGCCTACGGGGGGTTGTACCCAAATTTATCCCGGATAAATTTCTTGGGGCCAAGCTTTTTTCGGAATAAATTTCCGTACATGGTACACAAAAAATATCCAGTGGCCAAGGTAATATTTTCGGGCACAGGGTCAGGAAAAATATCCTGCCAGCACGAACCCGGTTCATGCTCTGGCATGTCTTCATGCTCTGGCATGTCTTGGGTTCCTTCACGAAAATGGTTCGATTGTTTTTGCGAGTTGCTTCTGCATTTTGTATTATTTTGTGTTTGAAGGAGATCACCGGCTCATTTGAGAAACGATGTATGGCTCATTTCGTCTTGCTTTCTCTCCTCTGTTCAAATCCTGGCAGCGAGGCTAGCACTGTCTGGAAGGGTCAAAGCCGAATCTGCTGCAAATGTGTCCACCAACCTGTGACACTTGTGCTTGGGCTTTGCTCATCACATCAACAATTCTTCTTTTGAAGCTGACGCTTTCTCTAAGGGCTGGTGATTTCTGGTAGAATCTCTTAGAGAAACCAGGAGAAACGGGCAAGCCAGCGGTGCTCAAAAAACACAACTCTGACCACGCTAGAAGATTAGCAATGAGCTCCAGTCAAAACCTTTTGAAAACGAGTTGCCAGCATTTTGAATTCAACCTTTGGGGCACTAAAAGACCGCTTTCTGCAGAAAAAATAGCTAGCTACACCAGACACCAAACACATACAGTCACTGGCTAGCGCTGCTTTGAGAAGGCGCCATAGACAAATTTGCTCAGCCCTTGCACACATTTATCTGTCCCTATCAAGCGTGCACTCTGCTCATCACATCAACGCTTTTTGAAATACTTTAGTTTGGGGCGTTGGAACAAGTCACGCACAATACCTCTGACAAGAAATCGCAAATTCTTATGTAACCGCGAAACCACTTTTTTGTCTTTTGCCATGAGCCTTGCGAAGTCGGCATCTCCACTGCTTCAGCCAGGGCGTGGCCACACCTTGAGCATTGGTAGATGGCAGGTGCGGCCGAAGGTCTGAAACGGTCAGAAGTTCTTTGGCTCAGTCCCGATAAGTCTCACAATTTTCGAAAGTCTTGCCTCTTGCTGTCTGATCTTTCTGCACCTGGAGGCCAGATTCCGGTTGCTGTCCCGTATCTCTGTGCGCACTTCGGGCACTTGTGTTGTTGGGAGCGTGTGATTTGATGTGCCACTGAAGCACCTCTCCACCTGGCCACTTAGTCTGTGATGGCTTTTGCTTTGGCTCAAGCATTACAAGTGAGCTCAAGAATTCATTTTCGCGGCACTTTCGCACCATTAGCTTGTCGCAAACATACATGGACTTAATGGATCAAAATTGTTGGCGCGGTTGATCCTGGTTCAATCCAAGAACATTCTGGGGTTTGATCTCAAAATTGATGTGTTGGATTCAGTACACACGTGGCAGTGGTTCTCCCAAGCTGCGGGCCAACATGGCGGCGGATGGGCATGGCTTTGGATAACTACCTTGACTCGGAAACTCGATACTCTCGCGAGGCTTTCCCAGATTCGATCGTATCCTCCATCATGGTTCCAGATACTTTGAATCTCTGGTCAGCAATGTGTTGTCACAATACTGCGTCCCTGTCCACCCATCAAAAACTATGGGACGAACCACGCAGAGGCGCTAAGCAAGAGCATGTCTTCTATATCTATGACATGGAAGAACAGAATTAAACAACCTTTGCGATCGCTTTCGCTGCAGCAATCCATATGGCCACTTTCGCGGGGTCTTGTCCAAACTTTCGCCATGTTCACTTTCGCAGGGCATACGTAGATTAACTTCATCTAAATTCCGTTCATTATTCATTTTTTTGTAATGGCTGAATTCAACCTATGATATTCTTGCGGCAACCCTGACAGGGAAAAGTGCCGCCAAGGCATCCTTTCCAGTAAAGCCCATCTCACGTAGGCTCGGCGCAGGCTTGGTGAAGGCATCTTTCAAGTGTAGCCACAAGTGGCCAAGAAAACGATTTTCTTTGACAGCCAGATGAGCTTCGGCATGAGTGTCACCTTGATGCAAATAGATCAGGAGCGAACTCACTAAATACCCGCGCAGCAGTGCGACACGTCTCCTTTCGTGTCTTCTGAAGTTCCTGCGTCTGGCTCCCTTCATTCTACATGTTGAAGGCACCTATTGCAGTATGTATGAAATTGACAGTTCCAGGCTCTGTTATCTTGTGACTTCCTTTCAGTGAAAGCCAATGCGCTGAAACTCTTCCGAAGACGTGGGATATCGTGGGATTCACTTTAAACTGCCCGCGAAGTGCACGCGTATTCAGTTAATCGTGTTCTTAGGGGCGAAGGCATGATCGGGTACTGTAAAATGCATCTACAGGACTTACACTAGGAATTCTCCACAATCAGAATTGCAAGCATGGAAAGTTTCACTTGCGCAAATTCAAGAGGGGAAAAACGGGTTTTATCATGTTTTATCTTTTTCCCAGCAAGGCATGTGAACTGGGCACCTGCTCACCCAGACATTTTCTCGCACACATTAATGCCAGTTTTGGTCATGGTTAGTTTCCCTGGAGCCACAACGACCAACCCGGTATTGGGAGATTGCGAACTCGTGCTATTAACATTTATCAATGCTAGCTGTTTTTTTCTCCGGAATGCTAGGACCGGGCGATCTCCGGGAAGTCGGAAAAACATGAAAATTATTCTTGAGAGGTGTCTGACTATGATCGATAAGAGCTTGGGATTTTTCCGACTTAGGGACCCTGCAAAATCATTCAGTGGTGAAGGCTTTTCCCTTGCTTTAACGCGGTGGGTGCACCTTTTGACCCACACATGACATGGCAGACTGCTGATTCTGAGGGTTTCTCCCACATGAAAGCTTCACCAACGACTCCCTTCGGACGCTGAAAAAAGTTCCTCTCAATGCATCACTGGCCATCCAAAGTCAACGCCCTAGTTTCAAATCATGGATGTTTTCTTCATCTCTTCCAAACATCGACTGTGGATGCTACCAGCGACCCATGAATCGACTCTTAGATTTCTGGATGTGCATTATTCATTCTTGTCATCCTCGCTTGCTCATTATCAAAATGGGAAGAAATTGCAAGCAATCAAACCTGGTGTCACATCTCTCTCAGAGAGGATATCGAAAGATTCCAGCCCTTTCCTAGGCCCGGATGTAGCAGGAGCCAAAACAGGAGCTGAAGCTGTACTGACTTTAAACATGTGGTTCAGCCGTTTCAGCCCAAGGCAGAGGATCTGGACGGTGCTCTTGGTGAATCTTGCTCGGGGCATCATGGAAACTCCCGGCAACAAGATCTGCAACTGAGCCCTGTGCGGTGCACACCTTAAACTGAGAGCCGGTTTTTCAGCCAGCGCACAGTGCTGAGTTCTTCCTGTCAGCATTCTCGGACCGAGAAGGTTATTGATGGTTTGAACTTGCGCCCTAACATTCAAGCAAAACACACATTAATTATGGGGTTAGCTGCGGGGTCACAAGTTGGCAACTTCCAAATCTTCCAAACGTAATTCCGAGCTCCTTTTTCCCAACTCCCCGACTGAGGTCCCGCATGGGTCTTCTGAACCACATCTTCTGAAAAAGCAAGAACTTAAAGTTCATTTCGTTCTCCATCATTTCCAAATTTCTCGATATCTAAAAACTCGAGATGTTCTGATAATTAAGACATGTGCCTGGTTAAAACTAGCTGCAAGAAACTTACTGGAATTTCGAGAACTTCGACCTGCCAAACAATGACAGCCGCTACTGAAAGGTGCACGGGGCTATTTCTTAGCCTGACCTGGGCTCCAGCCATCCCTAGGGAGCGCGGATGTAGCTTGCAGCATCTTGCAGCCATGCAGTGCTCGCCAATGGAATTGATACTGCCTTCACTGAACTTCATGTGAGCGCTCATGTATAACTTCGACATGGCAGAACACTTGATTTGCAGCAAAGGATGTATTGCCGCAGAATACAGAATCTCCAGCGATCCACTTGACAAGTTCAAACCATGCATTAACTCTTGTTGAGCGTGTCTACTATATAAAATACATCAAGGGTGGAACATTGGAACAGAACCTTCACACCATTTTGCCCCGCTCTGTCAAGTGCTTTTAAGTCAACTGCAATCATGTGATCAGGTCTCAATGCAATCTGCAAACGGCGCTTGATTGAGCGTTCTCTGCTGTATAATTATTTGATTTGTAGCTTGCCTTGGTCAAATGCGCTTCATATCTCTTCCACCTCCATGCAAGCACAAACTCACGTCACCATCAGAACTCACAGTCCACACACGAAAGTTTGCGGCTTGCTCCATCTTTGAACTACAAGTAGATGCCAATGCACGGCCACTTGGGCCAGGATACATCTGAGACCTTGCACAGTGGCTACAGGTAGTGAAAGCTTTGAGTGGATAAATCTGAGGGTTAAGTAGCACTTGCTGAACTTGTGCAAGAGTCTGGGGGAAGGACACCATGCACAAACGAACGGCTATCCCACTAGACGATCTCAATTGCAAAGGACCTCACTCAAACACCGATTTTTGTTCCTTACATTACCTGCAAACTTTTAGAGCCATCACAACACTCTGCCAAGTCAAGTCAACGCTATGTACTGACATCTATTGAGTCATGTTTTTTCCATGCAGTCTGATTTGACATTCTCAGTCAAGCGGAGCGCTGTCTGACGAGTTTCGTCCAGCAAATATAGCCTAATATAGCAGTGGCGCCATGCATCCGGTTTGCATGCTGTGCTCCAAGGTCGCCTAGATTTCAATGTGTAGGGAAAAACATGGATAATAAACTGCGGCACTTCGTCCCCATGGCAATCAATCTGTATCTGGTCACCCACCACTGCGCTCGAACGCTGTCTGACGGCATGGTTTTATGTAGTTTGTTACCTGGCTCCACCAGGCTTCAATAAATGCCAAATCGTCAGACAGGTCAGAGCTATGCACTTTGGCTCTCAAGCTACGCCCTTTGTCTCACGTAGGGTAGCTGCAACATCTGCAACTTTGAGTCTTTCATTCGATGCCAAGCAGTGCAGTTTAGGGCACCTTGGTACACCACATAGTGAAATGTCACAGCTGCATAGATCCTGATGTGGGCTCACAAACCTCCTGAGCCGCAGAAATCCCTCACTGATCCGATCAAACATGGCAGAAGCTGAGATGGGCCGACAAACCAATGTAGCTTGAGGAAATGAATGTTCGGAATACGCAAGCTGAAGGCGTGAGGCATCCAAACTCCTGTAAATGGATGGGCGCTCAACTCAAAGCCATGCTCTTCAAGAATCTTCATGACGAACCACATACTACGGCGGACTTGGTCTACAGCAAGTATGACCAGGTATGAAAACCGTGGCCTTCGTACCTTCGAAGACATTCAAACAAAAGTCAGCACAGTCAGCTACTGTAGCTTTTCTCGAGTTTCTGGACATCGGCGCTTACAAAGGTTTTCTATCAAGCAGCTCAATTTTGACATAGTGAGACTAAGTCTGGGGGCAATCGGCAGCTCCAAGTTCATCTGTGTAACAGCACAGTCTGAAGGGTTTCACGGTTGGCTTCACCATATTTAACTGACCACATGCGAGGAGCTTCAGTCCACTGGGAGGACACAATAATATCATACAATCCATCAAATGCCATCTGATTCCTGTGACATTTGATAACGATGACATGTCTGTCACATTGTGTTGCCATTTCTTACGTATGCCTGAAGCGTGTATCAGTTGTAATGCCCACTTGACATGGCTGATATGACTCATCTGGCCCCTGTGAGCAAACTTAAGAGGTCATGAGAAATCAGCATCCAAGAAAATGAGCGAGAACAGCGCTGTAAGAACGTACCCCAAAAAAGGAACGTGCTACTGGGATTCGCCTCATGAGTAGAGGAAGTGTCATGGTTTGTCCCAATCTTTGAACGTCTTCTGAAGAAACTGATCCTTTCCTCTCGGCAAATTCATTGTTTTCGTGACCGGACGATATGCTCTGGAGGAGTGCATCCACAAAATATGCCATAACCATTCTTGACCACATGAAAGATATAAAAGGAGCTCAGAGACTAAGTGTGCGAAATGTGCCTTGATGCCTTGAGCATCCTTGAACCAACTTTTGGGACCTCGTCGGACGCGGCAAAGCGTAGCAGTGTACTGGGAAAACCACTTTGCGACTCTGGTTGATACACACAGCCGTCACAACACTTCATATCCTGCGCTCTTCGGAAGGCATGCGCCTGGCTAGGCAATCATATCGATTCCAAAACAATCGGTAGAAATCGGTAGAACATATGATCCATTTTCCTTTCGCAGCTGAGTGCCACGTGATGCAAATCTCTGGGCATCTAGGAATTAACGCAACCCACGAGCCCTCTGGATGTGATTGGAATGCATGGCGCTTGGATTTCCAGTTTATCGCATGTGAAATGCCAAATGGAAATTTAAGTCCTTGCATCAAACTGGAGGTTGACGTGAGCATTCATGAGGTCGTCCTGATCTCCCTGCATGCTTTCAGGTCTATGCGAGCGGAATTCAACCATATTTAGGCCCACTAAGCCGCTGCCGTCCGCTTTGCCAGCTTTGCCAAACGCTTTCTGGCGTAAAATGCACGCGAAGCGACTGGAAGGCATCCGGAGGCCCCTTTCACATGCCAATGGCGCCATTGACCGTTTTTTTAATGGAGTGTCCCAGCAGAGTTGGATGAAGTTGTGTCTGCCAGCCGAATCGGCAGACTTCCAGTAGCGACAATAACATGCCGATGGTGTCTGTCTTGTAGAATGACTTTGCAAACCTCACTTGCGGACACAGTACTAGACTTTCTGTGACCTATACTTTTATAGAGGTCATGTGTCGCAACTGCGATAACAGATCCACCAACAAATGTTCCATAATTGTCAAGGTTTGCAGTTGAAGCAGTTGGAGCAATTTGATTTCTTGTGAAAAATGTGCAAGCTGATTGAACAATTGGAACTATTTGAACATGTGTTGGCTTGGGAAGAAGGGTCAAAACACCTGGGGTCCAGTAGTCGGGCTTTGAGTTCAGCACCCGCAAATTGACACATCGAGAGATCAACTTCACCAACACGCTAGTAGAGTATAGATTGATCCGAATAAAACTAGCTTTCGATGATTTGGAAAACAAAAATTAGATCGGTGCGGAACAGAACAAATACTGGGTCTTCCGCAGGCCACAGGTAGGACATTTTGCATTTTGGACAAACAAACGGTTCTATGGGCTTAACATGGCTTAACTCCCCCAGACCGGTTGGCATTGACACCACGCATGCAAGGCCTTCTTCACATCCTTTCAGGTCTAGGAGTCAAGCTGCCACATGGTTGATGAGGCAGCTGCATGTGCAGCAAAGGATGCGTTGCCGAAGAAGAATACAGAATCTCCAACGATCCACTTGACAAGTTCAAACCATGCATTAACTCTTGTTGAGCGTGTCTACTATATAAAATACATCAAGGGTGGAACATTGGAACAGAACCTTCACACCATTTTGCCCCGCTCTGTCAAGTGCTTTTATATAGTCAACTGCAATCATGTGATCAGGTCTCAATGCAATCTGCAAACGGCGCTTGATTGAGCGTTATCTGCTGTATAATTATTTGATTTGTAGCTTGCCTTGGTCAAATGCGCTTCATATCTCTTCCACCTCCATGCAAGCACAAACTCACGTCACCATCAGAACTCACAGTCCACACACGAAAGTTTGCGGCTTGCTCCATCTTTGAACTACAAGTAGATGCCAATGCACGGCCCCTTGGGCCAGGATACAGATGATACAGCGGACACCAGTTGCAGCCGGTGTGGTTTTGGGGAGGGGCAGCATGCACGAACAGGGAGACCCTCGAAAGTGGGCAAACAACTATCCTACTGGACATGCTTGAGTTGCAAAGGACCCCCCCTCTGGGGAACTGAGCTACACCTGCTCCATCCTGCTCCTAAATTGCATGAGCTGCATAGTGAAGAACCATCAAAGCCTTCTTGCCAAGTCACTCTTGGAGATGTTTGGACTGTTTGGATAATTTGTCAAGAGTTTGCATGTATTTGCATGTATTTGGATGGTTGCTTTGGGTCTTGTCTGGGTCTTGTTTTGAGCTCTTCTACGGCCGTGGCTCCCAGAGATGACCTGGTTGCATGGAGGTTTCGCTGGCACTGTGAGGTCACGCTGTTGGAATGCAACACTCAAAATGAAAGTGAAAGTGTTTCAAGTGTTTCAAGTGGTTCACGTGGTTCATACGAACTTGTCACTGAAGAAACAAATTCTCCCAGCGGGTTCTCATATCCGGCTCAAGTGCATAAGTCGCCGCTTTGGTTGTCTGATCTATAAAGCGTATGACATATGACTCGAAGGACAGCTGACAAGGGAAGTTGTTGTTTCGCTGAAAGAAACAGAATCTGGTTTTACTCGATCCAGCACAAGGCAAACCAAGGTGGACAAGGTGAGCGCCCTTTGACTCAAGCACTCATGGAATCTCTGGACTGACATAGAAGAAATATTGGCAAAGCGAAGCAGCGGCGACGAACCACTGACAAGTGCCTGGAATGCCTGTGTTCAAAACGTGCTTTACACTTGGAGTGGCGGTACGGAAGATGAGGTAAAGACAAAATAAGTTCCAACCCATCATGCCTCAGCATTTTCACAGGATCAAGCCGCTTGCTACAAGGTCGACCAATAGCAAATGAGCATCCGTCTACTGTCATCAACATCCTTCAACAGCTTGCCTCTGGAAGCGCTTAAAAAAATCCTACTCTAGCTAATCTTGTGTTTTGATTGTAACCGCGCAACAAAATGTCAATGCCAGGGAGGCCCACCATCAGCCGCATGATCCCACAATATCACCTGTACCCTTGCTACAAATGCGCGAAGCTACGCAAAGACTGTCCCTCTGCTGCCTCTGCTCTCCCGCTTTCAATGATTTCAAGCGTCAACAAATGTCATGGGTGGAACCTGGCATAAATGACACCCCAACTCAGCGTCAAGGCATGCAATAAGGGATCAGCTGTGCTCATGGCAGTTTTGCAAAGGCCTCCAACGAAGGATCCTTTCGACTGACAATGTGCTAAGCGATCAGGGAGAACGCAGCTGAAAGCGGGGCCACACCTGGAACATCCTGGAACATACTTGAGACTCGCGCGGACCTGCAAATATTCTCTAGCAGTCATGATAGGATTGGTTTCGAACCAATCTTGATCAACACGCACGTGAGATCTAAGCTCTCGCTCAAACCTTGGCTTGAGCAG